GGCACCCGCTGCTTTGCGACTCACGCAAATCGTGCAACTCAGAAACCCCCCCGCATTCACGGGAACACACAACTTCTCTCAAATACCATTCGTGTGTCGTGCCAGCTCACTGGCAGTGCCAGCACTGTATGTTTACCCCCCACCCTCACCCTCCCCCAATACGCGCAATGGATGTGGGGTGAAGTTGACGCGCGCTCTGCATGCGCTCTCTCGCGAAACCGGTTTGGCGAGCGCAATGTTTCTCCCACCAAGCTCCAGTTCCTCCGAAAGCCACCGATTGTCCACCCCTTACCGAACGTCTCCTCCTCGGTAAGTCGCTGAGGCCGCACGCGCCTGACGATTAATGGACACGTGGTGCAATGTGGCCCCCCTTTCTCTTGCTCCGTATTGCATAGATGGAAAGCAACGGACCGAGTTTCTAAGTGTTCGCACGATTGTGATTCTCGCACCGCGTCGGTTCGTGTACGATGATGGCGTCGCCGTTCATGCAAATCGCGTCTCACTAATCGCTGGGGTGCCCACGACCAAAGCTGCAACCGGGCGGTGAGACGGCGCGCTGTCCACAATGGACCGAGCTCCACAATCCTCCATATACTAAGATAATTTCGGGCCAATTAATGAGCGTTTATATGCGTGGGGGGGGGGGGGTCCAGAACACGCAGAGAAAACCTTACGCGTGCGAGGTTGTGGCAGGCAATATTCCATTCCATGCAGAAGGGACAGATTATATTGGCCCGCATGCCATCATTGCATTGACTTCTCCTGGCGAGCGAGCCCAGGGTATAAACTCCTCGTCGACGCCAAAGTGAAGGGAGTTCCACAACATGTTGTGCGATCCACCCAACACTCGCTGCTCCCACAGTGCCCGAGTAGCAGGCCACGTGCGTATCCACCACCGCGGGGCTATGATCGTCGTTATTCCATCGCTGCGAAAGGCGAATTTGAAAAGCCATTCGATGAATGCCTGGAATCGCCGCCAGACGGAATCCAGTGGTGCAAGGCAAAAGCGCAGCCGTGTAATTTCTTTCTCAACACCGCTCCTAGCGGAAAGGCCTCCACTATAGAAGGCGCTATGGATGTGTATTTGACCTTGTCTTGGAAGACTAGACTGGTCAACACACTTTTTCTGGCATAAGGTATTCCAAGGGTTGTAAGGTAATTTTGGGGTGCTGATTCCAAATCTGGCATCAGTTTTTGTCCATCACATCAGGTTTTTGAGATATCAAATATTGCATTTTCAATAAAAACTGCAGAAGAAAAATATTAAATAAATGTGGATATCTACATAAAATGATATTATAAACACACTATCCTAAAATACAGCACCATATTTTAACACTAAAGCAGTCACTGACTCGCAACTTGCAATCATAAGTGACAGAGTTAATTTCGGGTAAAATCAATGAAAATGGGGTATGCCGATAGCATAAAAATGAGATGTGATAGAGCAAATCTGAGATCAGATTTGGAATCAGCACCCTGAAATTAGCCTATAACAGCTGCAAAAGTCCAGGCCAGGAAAAAAAAACGTTTTTTGTTGTTGACCAGTGTTATCCCACACTTTACCCCACCACACACGTGCCGATCGTCTTAACGGGAGTTCGAACCGGGCACCTCTGGATTGCAACTCCTGTGTGCTCACCATGACACCACGGCAGCGGACAGACGGGTTCCATCTGTACTTCCTACACAAGCTGCTGGTATTGGACAATGGCTCGTCGAGTCATAGCGTGAGGCGATGCGCATCAGACGCGGGTTCCGGCTCGACCTCATGCAGCGCAGTCTGTCGTGTTTGAGATCTATGTCGGTCGTGCCTTGGTTTGATCTTTAATGTCCGTCTTGTATTCTTGGTTCTTTCGGTAAAGTCACGTAGAAGGGAAATAATAAAATAATAAAAATATAAAACAATTAAATTCTCACGACGTTTCGACTGCAACACAAGCAATCATCATTAGGTGTGAAATCCACAGAAAGAAAATTTGAAAAAAGAGAGATAAAATTTTCTTTCTGTGGATTTCGCACCTGATGATGATTGCTTGTGTTGCAGTCGAAACGTCGTGAGAATTTTTATTGTTGTATATTAATATTATTATTTTATTATTTCCCTTCTACGTGACTTTACCGAAAAAACCAAGAATATGAATCCCTGCAGTCACGAAAGCTTTACATCAATGAGCGTCTTGTTAGAGACAAAACTGTCCTAAAATAAAAAGGTGATGTTTGGGGCAATTGCGCCTTTATCATAGCACACGTATAGAGAGGCCGGGAGAGAGACAGAGTGGATACGAATTGTAGACTGCACTTCAAACCATGGGGCCTGATGCAAAGAAGGTCAAAACGTTGCATACTTTAACATTTTCCATTTAAGGCTGCAGTGTTATTGACGAATGTTGTAAATAATTGTGTGATCTGTGCTTGTGCACCACTGCCCAACGCAGCATCACCGAATAATTACTTAAAATGTTTCATGCGAGGGGGGGTATCACTCAAATCTTTGCACAGATAGGGTTCAAGAATCCATTGCTATACAGTCATTTGCTGGGTCACCTCGCTCTACAAGTCTACAGCACCTGGAAATTCTTCCCCGTCACTCATACGACTCCCCACCGGGGCTAACTCAGCTCGGCGTTCACGATCCGACGGGATTTGCTTTTATTAATGAATGCTGACTCCTTATCCCACCTCCCCCCCGCGCACTGACTGACCAGGCTTAATCCAACTCAGCTTTCGAGATCCAACGAGATCCGTTTCGTTAAAGGTCGATTTGCTCATAGACAAAACATGTTATCGAGGCTTTCCTGGGTACAACTGTTGTCAAACTGTCATAGGTGATTGCATACTCGTCAATGTGTCACGAGGCCTGCTATTACCCTCCTTGAAAAAAACCCACCACATTAATCCTCCACATCCTTTTTGCTCTTCATCCAAAGTTACGCCGCATTCATGTAGCCGAGAGGGCAATGTGGCGGTGATGTCTGTTTTGACGCGCCCGTTCGTGAGAAGTGACATTTAATACGAGCGGGTCAATTGCGAGCGCCGCTTATAAATGCATAGGAACCGCGAACCCTTGGGGCTTGGCGCGATGATTCAACCACTCCCCGTTACGCAACCGGGTAACGTCCTCGTGCAGCGATGTCGGGCTGGGTACGGGCTCCCTCTCCCCACGCGCGCCTGCTGGTTGTACCGCGCGCAGTTGGGCATGATGTCCGACGTTTCCACTCCGCTTGCCCGGAGCTTCTTCAGTAACTGAATTGTTTTGAGAGAGATCGTATGTAGCGTTTGCCGGCTGCTGTTGTTGCCGCAGCCGCTGCTCCCGGGCGCCACCGTGGCGAGATGTTAACTACCTCGCCTGGTATACAGGAGGTCGTGAGTTCGATCCTGACCCTGACGCCTGCTGCTCTATATTTGGAGTTTGCGTGTCTCTCTCTCTCATCATCATCACGGTGGCTAGGAGATGTTAACTACCTCGCCTGGTATACAGGAGGTCGTGAGTTCGATCCTGACCCTGACGCCTGCTGCTCTATATTCGGAGTTTGCGTGTCTCTCTCTCTCTCATCATCATCACGGTGGCTAGGAGATGATAACTACCTCGCCTGGTATACAGGAGGTCGTGAGTTCGATCCTGACCCTGACGCCTGCTGCTCTATATTTGGAGTTTGCGTGTCTCTCTCTCTCTCTCATCATCATCACGGTGGCTAGGAGATGTTAACTACCTCGCCTGGTATACAGGAGGTCGTGAGTTCGATCCTGACCCTGACGCCTGCTGCTCTATATTCGGAGTTTGCGTGTCTCTCTCTCTCTCATCATCATCACGGTGGCTAGGAGATGATAACTACCTCGCCTGGTATACAGGAGGTCGTGAGTTCGATCCTGACCCTGACGCCTGCTGCTCTATATTTGGAGTTTGCGTGTCTCTCTCTCTCTCTCATCATCATCACGGTGGCTAGGAGATGTTAACTACCTCGCCTGGTATACAGGAGGTCGTGAGTTCGATCCTGACCCTGACACCTGCTGCTCTATATTTAGAGTTTGCGTGTCTCTCTCTCTCTCATCATCATCACGGTGGCTAGGAGATGATAACTACCTCGCCTGGTATACAGGAGGTCGTGAGTTCGATCCTGACCCTGACGCCTGCTGCTCTATATTTGGAGTTTGCGCGTCTCTCTCTCATCATCATCACGGTGGCTAGGAGATATTAACTACCTCGCCTGGTATACAGGAGGTCGTGACTTCCATCCTGGCCCTGACGCCTGTATATTTGGAGTTTGCGTGTCTCTTCCCCCGTGGTTGCGTACATTTTTATCCAGATGATCTGTTTTTTTTCTTCCACATTTAGAATCATGCGTATGGGGTATTTGGCTGCTAGAAATTTCCACGCGATAAACCACGTCGTTGAGCTATCATTTGCGGCCAGGTCGTTTCTGAAAAAGAGCTATATAGCCCAGTGGGCCATACCTGGTAAAATAATAATAGTGTAGTGTAGTTTTAAAAATTGTTTAGTTTTTGCCAATTCCTCTATGCTGAGTGGCACAGCTCGCTTTCGAAGACCGGACGATATTGTTTCAGAAACTGTGACGTCGAGGGAGAGGCTGATCTGACCCAATGCTAATTATTTGGCGATGCTTCCACTGTGGTGCACAAGCACACGTTAATCATAATTAAAAACCCGCAACACATTTGTCAATAACACTGGGGCCTTGAAATATAAAAAAAATTGGTGACACTTCGGCCAGTGGCATGCCTTCACATGTCTTCACATGCCACAGAAGATGGGACCGTTGCCTGAAAGTCAGTGTTATTGATGAATGTGTTGAGTCAACATTTTTTGAATACGTTTTCTGAATTTTTCCGTCTCTGAGCTCAGGGCTGAGCTCAGGGCTGTACCGCGATGAGCTGCCACGGGGCGTCCGTGTAATGTCACCAAGCAGGAGTCAATACGCCCTCTCAAATACCGCAGAGAAAACACGCAACTTAGAACGTGTTTTTTTTTTTAAACAAAGATTTTTTTTAATAATCCATGATTGTGCATGGTTAAGCAAGCCATGAAAAAAAAAGTAGAAAATGTTTTGACAAGAAATGGATGGCATTTAGCATTTCTAGCATTGGCAAGGTAGTAGAAAACAAGCTGTCAAACGGTGGGATGTCTGGCCACAGACACAAGTTCGCTGTTCAGATAACTACTCGCGGTGTTAATGATCAGTTACCCGTGTCATATCTCACTTTTTAATTCCCCCAGCGAAAGATGGGGGAGGTGTGGTGGTGGGGGGAGGGGATGACATCACAAGTGAATCTGATGAAGAATAGTCTCTACGACGTTCCACTCTCTAGCATTGTTTCACAAAGCTCCCGCGTGGCATTGGAGCGAAGTGTAAGTTCCCTTAGCAAATAGAAGCGTAAGCGGCACTGTCATGAACATGGTCGAGTGCCCGTGATGTGTGTGGGGGAGCAAAGTCGACGTGATGCGGTCCTTCTTCGCGACTGCCTCTGGGATCTCTTGGCAACCGTGCGGGCTTTAGTAGTGTGCTGTGGAAGACAAAACGAGAGTGATTATTCGGCCCAAAAGACCATTGAGGCATCAGTGCTCATTTCCCGACTCTGACGCCTGCTGTATATTTGGAGTTTGCACGTCTCTCTTTCTCTCTCTCTCTCTCCCCGTAGTCACGTGTGATTTTCTCCGGTTCCTCCGGGGTTTCCCCCTCCACATTTAGAATCAACATTCGTGTTAAGAGTATTTGGCTGCTAGAGATGTCCACGTGATGACGATGAGCCACTTCGTTGAGCTATCATTTGTGATGGCCAGGCCGTGTCTGTAAAAGAGCAACACAGCTCAGCAGCGTGGGCCTCACCTGGTAAAAAAAAAAGTGTCGTAGTTATAGCCCTGCAAGAGCCACCAGTCGTGGTGGAAATTCGGAGTTCCCATCACGGAGGTGAGTTCATCCATGGAACCAATCACCGTTGATGCCCCCAACTTAAGTGGCGTTAATTTTCAGCGAAAGCGCGATTGGGCAAGAGGCACAAATGAGCTGCGTCTTGATCTCCCTCCGGGAGCCACGCTTGTTTTGTGTGTGGGGAGAAAAAGGGAACGGCCTTCAGCCAGCCGTGGATAGATCATGGCTGCTACTGATAAAGAACCGAAGGAAAGTTCCTTGCGGCGCTCCTAAATGATTTATCCCCGTGGCTCGAGCCTAGGATCGGTTCAGATGCCGCTCGGCGCTGACGTGAGCCATGGCCGGGGATCGGCTCTCCGGGTTTGTAGCGTGGTGCACTAACCACCACACCATACCCCCAGAACATCATAAATGCCCTTCCATAAGTGGAGTACTTTCCCCAGCTTGTGATTGGTTAGCTGTTGACAGATGCGTGGAGGTGATAGGGTGGGGGGGGGTAAAGGATGAAGTGAGAAAGGTGGGGAGGGGGGGGGGGGCGCGAGGGGAGTGGAGGGGGGTCTCAGCCACTCACTTGACATCTTGATGGAGCCGCCGGAGCTCATCTGGCTGTAACTTCCACCTCCGCTGTAGCTTACGCTTCCGCTGTGGCTTCCACCTCCGCCGAGGGAGCACATCATGTCGCCCCCGAAGGACGATCCTCCCTGGCTGTGGAGCTGTCCCCCGCTCTGCGTGATGTGCTGGGTGATCACGTTCAGCCTGGTGTGGATGAGAGACAGCTTGGGGTTGACCACCTTCTCCTGTATTTTTCGTCCACTACCACCACCACCACCACCACCCAGGATCGTTTCTATTTTGCTTTGAATAAATCATCTTCTGATGATGATGATGCTGCTGCGTTGGCAGTGGTGCACAAGCACAAATGATAATAATAATAATGAAAGGTCGACACATTCGTCAACAATATTGTGGCCTTAAAAGGAACGAAAATATTTAATAGGCGACGTTTTGGACAGCGGTCCTTGGGAGCAAATTAGTATTTTTGATTGCTCAACGATTAAAATGTGCAAATTATACACAGGTACAGATGTCGAGGTTACGTTTAGGCTCGTGGGCAAACACAAACTATTCACGGCAAGAAACAATACAAACGAGATGGGACAAACCGGGACAAAAAACATATATCTATTCGTGAATGGAATCTACCAACTTCTTGGTTCTTTCGGTAAAGTCACGTACAAGGGAAGTAATACAATAATAAAAATAAAACATAATAAAACAAGTCTCACGACGTTTCGGCCACAATGCAAGCAACCGTCGTGAGAATTGTTTTATTATGTTTTATTTGTATTTTATTACTTCTCTTCTACGTGACTTTACCGAAAGAACCAAGAAGATGAATCCCTGCAGTCACGAAAGCTTTAAATCGAAATGGAATCTACCAACTTGTCACAACAATTCGAACTCGGCAGTGACGGACAGCGCCTCTAGTGGCTCTGGCAGTGGTATGATGCTATTACATCCAACGTGAACATTGAGTCTTACCTGTGCGGTGGATAAAACCAAAAAGTCAATGTTAACCGATGTAGCATTTCTCTCAATAAAATATCGTGTCTTCTGAACTGACATTCCCCAGCAGCATTTGGTTAAGCGGGTCAACTCTGCACTGGATCTGACATTGCCGCTCTCATAAGCACATGAGTGTCAATTTGGCTCAGGCCTCAGATCCGAGGGGGGAGGGGCGGGGGGGGGGGAACTCGGGGACTCAGAAGGGGGTGAAGGGGACCTCACCTGGCATTTTGTGGCCAGGTCGCTTCTGGAAAAGAGCTATATAATTCAGTGGGCCTTAACTGTTAAAAAATATATTATTATCGTTTAGTTAATCTTGCCCGGGTTCTCCAAAACGTTTTTGTGGCCCAGTTTTCAGCGCTTGAAACAGGAAATCTGCTCTGCAGATTGAGGCGGTGTGGCGCGGTGACGCGGTGACGCAGGTGTCCACGCACCTGGACTCCTCTCCCTCCAGCAGCTTGCGGTAGGTGACGATCTCGATGTCCAGAGCCAGCTTGACGTTCATGAGCTCCTGGTACTCGCGCACGTGCCGCGCCATCTCCTGCTTGGCCTTGTGGATCTCCTCCTCCAGTTGGGCGATGGCCGCCTTCGCCTCCCGGATGTCGGCCTCTCCGCGTCCCTCCGCCTCGGCGATGGCCGACTCCAGCTTGGCGCGCTGCGAGGACGGACGGCGCGGTTGGGGGGGGGGGGGGGGGGGACGTGAGACGCGGACCGCCCCGTGGACGTCGCACGTGCAGAGGTTGTGGGGTCGGCACAGTCCGTCCCCCCCTCCATCCAATTTCACCTTCTCCCTAGGTGAGCCCATCTCCCCTCCCCCGGTGCAGAAGTACCGCAGGCACACTCGGTAGCTCCTGCACTGTTGCAGGGCCCTGGCTTTCACTCTGAACTGACTACATTTTCAAATCATGGACGTGTCATTATTCTGTCGGAATGCTTTGTGTTATTTGATGTTTTCACAACGAAGGTTTAAAGCGTTCCTACTTTAGCTTTGTCCATCCATCGATTTGTCTGTCTGTCCATCCACCCCTAATAGAGGGGGCACTATAACTGTCATGAAGATAACCCAATATCGACACAACTGGAGTGTAATGTTGTGTTGCTTGTGACTGAAAACCAGCTACATTGATCAAAGAGCCGTGTCTGGCCACCTCTCCTTTGCTTTATTTAAATGAAAATTTGAGTCACTGTGAGAAGCAGCTGTACTCAGGGGTGACGCAGGGCTTAATTTCAGCGAGGTGTACCTGGGTCAGCAACCCAGACAATTTTTCCACACCCAGGACACCACATCCAGTATACCTCTCGGTATGTATTGAACATCTTTCGCACTGCACGTAGCAAACCGTGCTATTCGGAGTTGAAGGGTAAGGACAACAAACTCAACACAAAAGTCAGTTCTGAAGAAATTAGTTTTCAATCTTAGATTTAAAAGTGCATAGCTCCAGTGGCTTCCTCATATCGGACGGAAGAGCGTTCCAGACGGCTGCAGGAGCGCATCTAAAAGCACGCGATGCAGTGACCACCGTCTTTGTCCGATGGCCAGCCAAAAGCCGCTGTGAGGATGACCGGAGTTCGCGTGAAATGTCTGTGGCTTCCGTGAGCAGTCGACCGGATTCGAGCCCTGCCTCTTGGCGGCGCCTGCTCAGTTCGTCGGCGCTGGAGCCGCCCGTCGGCATGCTCCCCCCGTCCCCCCACCCACGCCCTCCCCTCACCTGCTTCTTGAGGGCCTCCATCTCGGCGCGGAAGCGCTGCATCTGGCGGTTGAGCTCAGTGATCTCGGTCTTGGTCATGCGCAGCTCCTCGTCGTTCCTCCCGCTGTCCGAGTGCAGGCTCTGGAACTGTTGGCACACGACGGCGGGAGAGACGCTCGCTAAAGCCGCCCAACGGCAACAACAACGGATCGGTGCCGGTAGCGCAGGGGGCAAAATAATTCTGGTGGGTGACATTTTGTCGCAATGGGGCAAGGGAGGCAGGGGGAGAGAGGGAGAGATGGACACGGACAGATAGGCGGACAGAGAGAGACGCAGAGAGACAGGAGGGTGGAGAGAGACGAGTAACGACGCTGCTCCGCCGGTAGGCACGCCGCCTCACCTTGTCCTGGTAGAAGGCGTCCGCCTCGGCCCGGCTCCGCGCCGCGATGGTCTCGTACTGGTGACGCACGTCGGCGATGATGCCGTCAATGTCCAGGTTGCGGCTGTTGTCGATCTCCACCAGCACGTTGGTGTGCTTGATCTGGGCCTCCAGCTCGCTGAGCTCCTGCAGAAGGGCCGCGCTGTGTCAGCGTACTGTGGTGTGGAGGAAGGTGACGTCAACACGTGAAGTCTGGCTGTGAAGATGGATTATGGGCTGAGCCGATCCCCAACTGGGATTTGAACTCGAAACCTTCCGATTGTGGCCACTGGGCCTGCCTCACATACGGGGGGCTCTATTCTACAACAGTGAGGAGGAGAAGATTTCCCGCCCCCGATGTTGTGACCGAGGGTGAGCCCACCTGGGTGAAGATACTCCTCAGGAAGTTGATTTCGTCCACGAGGCCTTGTAGGCGAGTCTCAAGCTCCACCTTGGAGAGGTACGCCCCGTCAACATCCTGTGGTGGGAGAGAGCAAGAGATGGCGTGGGTTAGCGGTGTTGCCGCACCTCTGATTTAGGCAGTGAGAGAGCGATGGCACGGGTTAGCGGTGCAGCTTCCTCTCTGATGTTGGGGCTGTCCCCATCAGTGAATTGCTCGCGGTGGGGTCAGGGGTCAGATAAAAGGAGTCCTGTTGTACCATAATTATATTATGGGTGCTACGGTGGCAAGATGTTAACTAGCTGGCCTGGTTTGTAGGAGGTCTTGGGTTCTATCCCGACTCCTGTATATTTGGAGTTTGCATGTTCTCCCTGTGGTCACGTGAATCTCTTTTTTTATGTCCACATTTAGAAACATGCGAATATAATATTTGGTTGCTATATATTTTCACACGATGAGCGATGATTTGTGGCCAGGTCGCTTCTAAAAAAATTGCTACATAGGTTAGTGGGCCTTACCTGGTAATATAAAAAAAGTTTAGTTCGTTATTGGATTTATGCATCTACTGGTCAGCGACTCGACAATGAGCCCACTGTTTGTGCAGTGCTCTGTATTTAAAGAAAAAAACTGAACACATTCGTCAATATCATTCGTGCGCATAGCCTTAGAAGGTAAATATATAACAGGCGACGTTTCTGGTAATGGCCGTACTTAGTTTGTGTGCTTTGAAGAAGGGCCACTGCTGCTATTTCTGCCTATTTCTACATATACAAATGATCTAATTCTTTTCGGGCTGCTGTGTTCATGACAAATGTGTCGCAGTTGTCTCTTGTTTTGTTATGAGTGCTCATGCACCACCGCCACTGGCCGACACAGCAGCAGCTGCACCAAATAAATTATTAAAAGGTTCCGTGGTCAGCAAAATTGGCACGTACGTTGCCTTTGTTGATGGAAGAAAGAAAAAAACGCCGACACCGTAATATTTTTTTATCCGAAAATGTGTTGGCGTCTCCTATCCGCATCTGGACATCTCGGGCTGGGTGGGGGTTGGGTGGGTTTTGGGTGGGGGTGGTTTCTGGACATTTACGGTGACGAGAGCCACCCGTGGGGTTCCTGCAAGTGCCGCGGGACTGCGCGAGCGCCACGACCCCAGCGAGTTCTCGTTTTGCACGGCAAAAACAACAATAAACCACCCCCCCCCACCCCTCGCGATCATCGCGCAGGGCGGAAGAATTCCGCGACGCTTTCCCACCTTCTTGACGACCACGAACTCGCCCTCGGCCGCGTTGCGGTTGTTGATCTCTGCCTCGTATCTGCAAGCAAAAAGAACAGTTTGAATTATCGTTACATATATTTTGTTGGTTTAGATGTATCAAAAATAATAAATGAACTCGGAACGCTTCTATAGACGTTGCCGCGTTATAACGGTTACCATCGGTCCTCGGTTCAATCTCCTGGCGCGGCGGCTGACACAACACGGGGAAAAGTTTCTGAAATCCAACCCCCCCCCCCACCGCCGCTCCCTTGCCACCGCCTCCGTCCAACCAGCATTATGAATGCGTACACCATAGTTCGGTTGCACGGCAGGTGGTGGGTGGTGGGGTGAACTGTGGGTACCGTTAGTAGCCAACCGTGCTAATCGGAGGTGCGGGGGAAGGACAGCAAACTACACACGAAGATCAGCTCTCAAGAAATGAGTTTTCAATCTCAGTGATTTCAAAGTTGTCTGGACCGTGTTGGAAGAGTGGGTTTAATATACCCTCGAGAGGGGCTGCGTGGAGACCCTTCTGGTCGAGGCTTCTTCCACTAGAAGTGATGTGGGGCAAGCAGTTGCAGGGCTGCCCCTTTACCTTCCACTTCCCAGCATTCCATGAGCCATAATCGACTCGTTCGCTTCAATAGACCAGAGTATTGCATTACAGCGAATGAAAAGCAAAGTGATTTCCTGCTCAAATGAGCATTCGAGCAGGCTAGAGCTCGTATCCAGTTTGCAGCCCTGAGCCAGCGGTGCAAATTTCAAATTCCCACGTCGGAGGAGAGTTCATCCACAGGGCAACCACTGCCGAAATCTCCACAACGTGCTACTCATTTTATCGACTCAGGAGGGGGGGAGGCGAGGGTGAGCGGGGAGCGTGGTCGGTTAGAGTCAATTCCATACCAGGATTTGAACTCGCAGCCGATTGCGAGCTGCTTGCCCCCACCGCTGATGCACCACAAAAAAACCCCCACACGGCTGCGAATGTTGAATGAGAGGCGGATGCAGCCACCTACTTGGCCCTGAAGTCCTCCACGACGGCCTGCATCTGGCCCAGGTTTCCGTTCAGCTGGCCCTTGTCGTGGCCCAGACCGTCGAGCTGCCGCCGCAGCCCGTTGATGTAGGCCTCGAACATCTCGTCGATGCTGGAGCCGGTCGTGGTCTTCTCCTGCAGCGCGTACCACTGCGCCTCCAGCACCTTGTTCTGCTGCTCCAGGAAGCGCACCTGAAACGACGAGAATGCGAAGGAAGAGGCAAAGTGGGCTCAAGAATGGGGGGGGGGGGGGGGGTGATTGGCTCGAGCGGGGACAGACCGCTGCCGTGCCCCGCAGGGCGACTGGAGAGAGTTTCCCGAGCTGGAGTTTCGTAGGTTCCACGTGCACCTGGAACATTCTGCGCTTGTTAACAGCGAGTGGCCGTCCATTGAGAAGCTAACGCAAAAGAGCCCCGGTTTTTACTTTGACCTGGGCAGTGTTACTCTGAATTGAACCAGTTTGTTGGCATGAAAGCCAATTTCGAAATCGTTTATGACATCGCGGAGGCTTAAACTTGCTTAAAGATGAGTGCATTTATCATAATGGTACCTTCAGTAAACATTAAAGCCGTTGATCGAATCCCAGCAATTGTGAGGATTGTATTGGCATTCGTTTAGCTACCCCACCTGATGTTGTGCCACATCACAAAATGAAAACCTGGGCACAAATCAAAAATCTTTGTTTCCTAGCGTTCACTTACAGCCCATTAGATTCTATGCACAGGCCAGCAACGGTGAGCAAACTTAAGCAATAAAAACAGCTAGGTATACGGTATTCCAGTGTGAGTCGAGAGATGAACAACTAATGCCAAATTCGCGTGAGATTCGGGGTCTGGATCGCAAAAACGAACCGCATTGAATGTGGTGAGCTCTCTCGTGATCCAAAGCGGTTGCGGGCATTCGTCACATTGAGCCTATAAGAGGGCGTCGAAGTTGTCAACCAAATGGGCAACGTCGCCCCCACCACCCACGTCACAAAGTGAAAAAGGCGCGGGCGCGCGCGTGAGCGCTTGCACGTGTGGCTCGTGCCTACCTTGTCGATGAAGTTGGCGAAGCGGTCGTTGAGGTGCTTGATGGCCTCCTTCTCCTGGGTGCGGGTGGGCAGCACTGAGCGGTCGATGTCCACGGGGGCCGCGCAGGCCATCGCCGCGGCCGACATCGCCGCCCCCACTCCACCCCCGTAGCCGCCGCTGCCGTAGCTGCCGTAGCCGAAGCTGGAGGCGGCCGAGCCGGCCCGGTACGACGAGCCGCTGAGCCCCGTGCTGCGGCGGCTGAACGCGGAGCTGCCCCCCGAGCCGAAGCGGCTGCCCCCCATGCCGCCGCCGAACGAGCGGCTGCTGAAGCCGCCGCTGACGACGCGGGGGCCCCCCGCGCTGCTGCGGGTGGACGTCCTCTTGGTGGTCGACACTTTGATGCTGGCGGACATGGCTGCTGCTCGAAGGTAGATTTTTGCCGGGTGCGAAGTACGGGTGGCGGTAGTAGCGGTTGTTGTTGCAGACGGGGCGGAAAAGAAGCAGCTGCTGGGACAGGCGCGTCGGGCTTGCAACAAAGACGAGCGGAGGTGGAGACCTGAGGTTCGGAGCCAGAGAGCCGAGGCTTTTATAGCGACGACGAACAGCCGACCACCCCAGCCCCACCACCAACTCCCTTTTAATTCCCGAAAGAGGCTCCCACCGCTCAATTGGCTGATCCACGTAAGAATTTGGATGATGCACAGGGCTACACCCAAAGGCTTCAGTCACTCGTTCGCCTAAACTGATTGATTAATTGTCATGACACATTCGTGTCATAATTGCAGACCCTCCCCCCCCTTCCCCCGCTCGCGCGATGCCGGGCACACGGGGGGCTATTTTTGAATCCGAACGCGTTTTCTGTTTCGCTCCGGCGAGCTTTCGCACTCCAGTGGCTCTGCGGGTACACTTCTCCGCCACCTCTCACGGGGGGGTGGGGGGGGGGCAGGGGGGGGCGCGGTGGGGAGATGGGGAGGGGGGGACGAACGTGTTGCGACGTTGGGCAATGGAGGAACATTTATCCATTCGTTGCAACGTAAGTGCGTTTTCAGTCGCCCTAATGACACGGGGTGGGGGGGGGGGGGGGGCGGCCGGTGTGAGGGGGAAGGAAGGGAGGAGTGAAAGCAGATGATCGCCCCAGACTGTGAGTAATATCAAGGCGGGTCCGCCGTGTGTGCACCGCGCAGATTAAGGGAGGCTCCGTGCCCGTCTGTGGCCGCCACTCGGGTTTGTGTTCCAGCATGCCTGCACGCCTTGTCGGCAGTGAGATCATCTCCCGCACCGGCTCCCCACTCAAACCTCAAACCTCTCGGCTGTGGTAAAGGAGGTGAAACATAAAACGCCTCGCGTCTAAAAATCACAGCATTTCGCAGGTGGAGCCAGAAAGTTTCACAATGGGAATAACTTTTAATTTGGCCACGGATAGCAGCGGTATGGTGTGTCATGTCTGACACTTGTCCCGGGTGCCCGTGACACCCGCCCCCCTCCCACCTTGCCACTTTCACCAACTTTCACCCAACGGCGTGGTGAAATATGGCCAAACTATCCCGATGGCTGATGCGGTGTGCAGAGGCCCCCATCCATCGACGGACTATGCGAGTGAGGATTACACAAATTCGATTTTGCCCATCCAGATGACATTAATGGGCACCGTTATCATCAGCAGCCATGACCAATCCACGAATTCTATTCTTGCTGTCCTGCCCCCGCACCTCCGATTAGCATGATTGGCCACGTATGGTGCGAAAGAAGTTCAACAAAACATACATACATGACAGAAGCAATATGTTTAGAAGCTAAATGTCGAGGCCTGCTAGCTACTGTTGATGTTCTGATGCGATTGAAGGTTGCACCATCAATGTCAATGCCAGGAGGTGCAATGTTCGGGTGTCGAATGACGTATTTATTCTGGATGTCTGCGTTGTTCCACTTTGTTTAGCCAACTTTCTTGGGTATCTGGGTGGGACTCTAGGCTGGTGACAACAGCGCAATCCCAGGAGGGAGATTGGGACTTGATTCAGTGGTGAGGTTACATTTTTGAGGCCTTGGTTGAGGGGTAGAGCCTGGGCCACAACAATAGGTGTCCCCTCTCCTTTGCCGTTTGCAGGTCTCTGCAGATGTTTGGTGGCAGAATGTTCACCAGAAACAGCGAGCCATGGAATTGGTGTCTGTTTCAGTGTTCTGATTCTGATGCGCATTGCATTATTTAATTGTGCATGTTGGGTTTTTTTTGTACGAGATCCCATACCAGGCTGGAGCGCAGTACTCTGCCACAGAGTAGATCATCAGTGAGAGGGCGGCATTTTCGCAGCACATCATTTAAGGCACCCAAGGTAATTTCTGCAAGTTTCTATAGCACGGCCATTCTTGATTTGGTTTTTTCAGCCATCTGTTTGATGTGGTGCTTGAAGTTCAGATTCTTGTCCATGATGTTTCTTAGATAATTGGCCGTGGGGTCGTAGTACACTGGTCTACCGCACAAGAACACATCAAGGGTGGCATCTGCTGCACGATTGTTCAGGTGGTTTAGGAGGGATGTGGTCCGAGTCTCCAGCGAAGGAAATATGCCTCCAATAACAGTCGATAAGCTTTCAGAGTATTTTGTATCGAGTATTGTTAAATAGTGAGGGTGCGAGTGCCGAGCGAGCCTTGAGGGAGGCTATTGTTCATAATTATCTTGCGGCTGTGTTCACCAGCGATGTGCGCGGCCAATCGACTGCTGGATGAACACGTTGTGGGGAGGTCTCTATTCAGCAATGGTATGAGGTCCATGTCCTTTGCGGGTCGCAGTAGACTTATAGTACGGCAAAGGCAAGTGGTCACCCAACTTAACTGAGCGACGCCATTGAACCCATGTGTACCATCACGAAACCTGCGATGGACCTGCTGCTGGGTGTGAGATCCACTCGGCTTAGCACAGCAGAACGGAGCTGTCTGTCTGCAATCCCCCCCCACCCCCTCCCCCCCCCCCCCCGTGGTCTGGAGCGGTCTCTGCCAACTGAGGCCTTGACAATTTGTGCTTTTCAGACCGCACCCAAAAAACATTTATTTTCTCTTCTGCTCCTCACGTTCAGTTTTGGTTTTGTCAGTGCCGCCCGTGCTTTAGTCTCGCCGAATACGGTGCGCGTAACAAATCTCTTATTATCTATATTGGGGGGGGGGGGGGGGGGGGGTGAATTCCAGGCAGGCGGTTGTGTCGTTGCCGTTAAGTGGCAGAGGGGTCTGGTGACGTGTGATCACTCTGCGTACGGAACCGACGCTGTTGCTGGGGAGGTGGTATTAGCCATTACAAATAAACGTTCTAAAAATGATGTTCCACATCACTGCCACCATCATCGTCGTCATTATCCACATTCAATCGATGCAATAATCTACCGAGCACTTGCACTCGGATGACATCAGAGATCCGCCTCTGTGGTGGGCGCCCCTCTCTGGCACGTTTCCCTCCCCCCATCGTTCGTTTCGACTGTTGGCCGTGTCCCGTTGAGCAATGTCCCTTCGAGCTCCATGTCCCTTCCAGCGCTGTGTCCCTTCGAGTGCGGTCTCACTTCGAGCCGTGCGTCCTGCACAAGCTCGCTTTTGACTATCCCAAGAACGGACTTTGGAATAGGTGGCAAATCCTTTTGCCGTTGCAGCACCTGAGATTCGAAAACAACCTTGTTTTCCTCCCTTGACATCGTGAATCTTCCTTCAAAAAAACATCCTGAAGCATAAGATTAATGCTGGATACAACCACATTTGCCAATTTGATTTGCAACTTTGATCCTTTCCCCTGTATCGATAGTAAAATTTTAATGTGCAATTTTATTTAGGGACTTTTGTGTTGTCTTCCTATGGTCTCGGACTGTTGTTGTTTTGCGGCCTTGCCCAGGCTTGCATTTATTGTTGAAAAATCGGTAGGAAGTGATATACTTTTGGAACTTACACTTGTACACTTTATTTTTACGTACTTATTTTTGGTGACTTCTTGCTTACCTTTACAATACTTTTTGTCTTGCAACTTTCTGACCCACCCCTTCATAGCTCATCAGATTCCTCCAGTCTAAATAAAGATTTCGATTCTGATTATTTTACAACTGGCGGGGGGGGGGGGGCTCAGCGGTAGCACGCTCTGCGATTGTTGCAGACGATTGCCGTTCCAACCCAGCGGCCGCCCTGATTAATTCTGCGCTTCTGTGTAACGACCATAATAATTCACACTGTCTGCTTCGCAGTGGATGTTCAAAAATCCCGTGACGCCGATTGCAAGAGTGGGCCACCGTGTGTCGGCGTCGCGGTCCAATTCGGTCGTGCCTCCGATGAGCTCGGTTGGCTACGTATGGTGTGAAAGAAGTTCAGTGTACGTACATACATAGAATGTTTGGCTACATACCGTATGGAAGAAGTTCAACATACATACAAAGCACTGTTGGCTACGTACAGTGCGAAAGAAATTCAACGTACATATATACAAAGCCTTAATAGTTCGGGTTGAGCAGTTATATCTATGGTGTAGGCCAATAAGTTTGATAGACAAGGCATATAAGAGCATGTTTGTTTGCATGTTTAGCCACAAGTATGTGTGGTTAATGCAGACTTTATGCCTTGCAATAGGTATCTATTTGGTGTTCGAACATGTTAAACACCTCCTGTTGTATTGCCAGAAAGGGGGTAAAGCCTATTCGTATTTTTCCCTCACTGTACATACAAATTTGCCAAATTCAAAACGTGACCTGCGAATTACTTGGGAATATACGTAGCAATCAACGCCCCCTGTTTTGGAATCGTGTCAGGACCCTCCGGCAAAAATGAGTCACGAGGCTCAGATAGGCTTTCCTGGTTAAACAAGCACAATACTATATTGTGTAACATTGTGTAACAATTTTAGTTTTTTTCTCCTGGGTAGTGTTTTTTCCTAATTGATTATGCCTCAAAAGTACAGAAAATGTCTATTATTCACCTACAAACTTTGCTTTTGTGACCAGGACAGTTATATTTTTCAATTTACCTCTTTTTTCAGAACATTCCAGATAGATTCAGTGCTGAGTAAATTTGGAGTAACTTCTAGAACATTCTATAACTTTCCAGTAATATAAATAGTCGTATAAATACAGAGGCCTTAAGCCCACCAGTTCAATTTAGTTAGAGGTGCCTAAGTGGATACATATCTGCATTTTTCTGAGGTGGCATCAAGAGGCTGGAAGCATCTGGCAGACACATTTTGCTATGTCTGCGGCCAATTTATCAAGACAAGAGCGAAAAAGTACTCTGTGGAAGCATCTGGTAAGATGTGTGAAACTTACAAGACATATTTCGGCATGCCTGTCGGGGATCAAGACAAACCCTGGGCACCTCATTTCACCTGCGAGCAATGCAAAAAAACTCTGGAAGGTAAGATGGACAATTGTTGCTCGGAATTTTATGTTATAACATTTGTAAAAAATTGTAAAAGTTTTTAATTTTAAAATGTTTGATAATTTTCAATGTTATTGAAAATATATGTCATATATGAAAAATGTTGCGAGAATCTCTTACACATTAATCATGGGTGAAATAAATTATTTTTGTAGGATGGTACAGAGAGAAAAATAGAGCCATGAAGTTCACTATCCCAATAATTTGGTGGGAACCCCACTGACCACTCAAGCAACTGCTACTTCAAGCAACTGCATGGTAATGTCCACGTACAGCCAGCCGCGCTTTTTGTCAATCCACTGCTGGATGAGGGCCTGCCTCCCAACGCTGTGTTGGTCACGGTTGCCGTTTAACCACACATCACCACTCCCGTGTGATAGAGAGTTTTAAGCGACCACCACCACCATCATATAAGCTTTAAAAACAGTTTATTGTATAAAACGGTGACAGTCATGTGACACACGCAAGCCAAGCAGGGTTTATCCCAAACAAACAAGCGGGGGGGGGGGGGGTGTTTAGCGCCACATTAAATACACAGTACGGGTTGTGCATCTTTCACGGCGCGTGCCGCAGGCTTCTCGGCCTCTCGCGGTCGTTATCGTGCGCGTGGCCCTGGTCTGGCGTCCACGGCGAAGCCACCGGCCTCTGCCACGTCGCGTCTCGTCCCATCGGAAGCGACGAATCGTCGACTTTGTCCGGGCTTTCCGGGCGAGTTGCAGGCGCGGGACTCGCCTCCTCGTGGGGGGGCGAGCGTTCGATGCGTGCGTTTGTCATTAGGCCGCGGGGTTGGACCGCCGCCGGAGCGCCGTGCGTGCCCGTCTCCTCTGGAAGCGGGCTGTGACGCGGCCCTAGCGGTCTGACGTGACGCGTTCGCTGATCGTTGCAGAGGCTCGCGGTTCCAATTCCAGCAGCCGCCCTGGTTAATACGCTGGTGTGTAGTGACCATACTAATGACCGTATTGAGGTATGTATTCAATACGAGCACTGTCTGCTTCACAGTGGACGTTTATTAAGATCCCCTGACGTCATTCGCAAGGGTGATCTGTTGTGTGTGCTGGCGGCATGGTCCAAATTGCTATTTTTTTGCAGATTTATCTTCCCAATCCAATGTTTTCACATCACATCCGAAATTGTGTATATATATTTAAAATCTTCAAATTCTAATCATTAGCATTGATTGCAGAAGTTTAAAGACGCATTTCCCCTTTTTTGTAAGCTTTTATTTGCGGAATTACCAGTTTATTTCTTCACTTTTAGTGATTTGTAGATTATAAGTGCTTGTTGTGAAAGGTACTTTGACTTATTGTGACCATTGTTCTGTTAAGAACATGCCATCGCGTCTTTGGCCCGAGCTGTTCAAACGTGAGCTTTGATCGCCAGTCATGGCTTGCGTACTTACGTGTGCATGCGTGCCTACGTACGTGTGCACTTATGCGCGCGTGCGTACGTACGCATGTTAGCCTGGTAGTGTCTGCCCGTGCTGCACCTGCATACCTGTCGCACTGCCCAGCTCTTGTAGCGAAGCCATGAAGAACCCTAACAGCGTGAAACCCTGAATGTGCGATCCAAGCAGAAGCACGTATGTACGTCGAACTTCTTTTGCACCGTACGTAGCCAACCGTGCGACGCGTCTCGTGCGTTGGCCTCTGCCGCCACACGGCCGCGTCCGCGTGCCGTCGTGTCTCACCGTGCAATCGCGGCCACCAACGTGGCCCACTCACTGCTCCCGGTTGAAGCGCGACGATTGACAAGTGCGTGGGTGGGGGGAGCCCGTCTCCACGCTGAGGGCCGAATGGGTCCCCTTTGGCTGGCCACGCATTTTAACGCCGCACGTGTCGGTCGCGTCTGCCAGAGTTTAGATCTAGTTTTGTTTTGTTTAACCTGGTGAGGTTAAAGTCAAGAGGCCGAGAGGGTGTGTCTTTTTTGCAAGAGTGACCCGGGTCACTGAAATGGCAAGTAAGAGACCCTTCGCAGTGACAGAGTTGATTTATCACGGACAAGGTTAGAAACACGCCGTTGTTGCCGTGTCCGAAAATCCCCCTTGTGTACCCGATCAGTGCAGTTAAGGTGCATGCAGTGATCGATAAATGTCATTTGAGGGCCTTATTAAAGTAGTGGCCTTCACGAGGTCATGGGCCGCAAGGATATAGCTCATGAGCCGTAAGTTCCCCACTTCTCCCCTCACTGCCCCCCTGATTAGCGCGAGTATAGGAAAGCTTCAGGCTTGCTGTGTCGACTCCGACCGTTCCTCTGAGTGTCCTCAAAGAGTCTCGTAGGTGACTCCGCCACCGTAACCACCTGCACATGAGCCGCACGCACACACACGTCCGCACAGGGATCTGTTATATACACGTATTGACTGTGACTGATAGGGCAGGCAGGTGCTGTTAGCGAGCGCCTGTTAACGGCCAGCCTGGCCTGCGAGCCATTAACGAGTGGGAGCGCCCTCCCCGCGCCGCGCCATGCCGTGCCGTGTCGTGCTTTACCGGACGACATCGTGACGGTGCTCGTGGTCTTGCGGGTGATGGTGGCCCCCGTGACCCCCTCGGCCATGTAGACGCCTCCCCCCTGACTCAGCATCTGCTGCCCTCCGCCGTATGTCAGGTGCTGCGTGATCACGTTCAGCCTGAGCCCCACGGTGGGTGGGACAAGGGGCAAAACGCGTTTCACGAGCGGTATGATCGGCGGGAGGAGGGGGGGTGGCGTTTTGGATTAATTAACCCCGGCCCTAGCACGGGTTCCCCTGCAGCATCACGATAGCTAGCGACCTCATGCAGATTACCCCAGGAGGGGCGATGCTGTGGCTGGCAGGCTCGACTCGCAGGTCAAAAGGTCACAAATTGACATTCCAGTGCAGGGTCAGCTCTGCCCATCATCTTCCCCCTGGGGTTGATAAAATTTGTACCATTTTGTGGCAAGTCATCAGTGGCGTCATTTGATAGAGAGAGTGGGCCCCAACATAACAATGTGGAATTTCTATCGGTTTTTAAGGCCGCCAATGTCAGATTACCGCTGCCACATTACTAATTTGGCCAGAGATACCTTTTTATATGCAGATTGAGTTTATCGCGACTTGATTTCAGCCAGGACCTGTTTACGTCGGTGACCTAGAAAATATCGTTTCACCCGGCACACCACGTTCACAGTCACTGCTGCTGTGGCTGCAACTATCAGTCCCCCACCGGCTACGTGCCAAACGTCCGGTAAGAAATTGAGCACCGGTTGCGCAGGTGAACACGCACCTGGACTCCTCTCCCTCCAGCAGCTTGCGGTAGGTGACGATCTCGATGTCCAGAGCCAGCTTGACGTTCATGAGCTCCTGGTACTCGCGCACGTGCCGCGCCATCTCCTGCTTGGCCTTGTGGATCTCCTCCTCCAGTTGGGCGATGGCCGCCTTCGCCTCCCGGATGTCGGCCTCTCCGCGTCCCTCCGCCTCGGCGATGGCCGACTCCAGCTTGGCGCGCTGCGAGGACGGACGGCGCGGTTGGGGGGGGGGGAGGGGGGACGTGAGACGCGGACCGCCCCGTGGATGTCGCACGCGCAGAGGTTGTGGGGTCGGCACAGGCCCCCCCCGCCTCCATCCAATTTCTCCTTCTCCCTAGGTGAGCCCACATCCCCTCCCCCCGGTGCAGAAGTACCGCCGGCACACTCGGTAGCTCCTGCACTGTTGCAGGGCCCTGGCTTTCACTCTGAACTGATCACATTTTCAGATCATGAACGTGTCATTCTTTTGTGTGAACACTGATTAAAAAAGAAAAATTAACTGCCCCAACTAGGTTCGAAAGCGTTCATGCACCGACTCTCGCTGTCTATCTGTTTTGTAACGGATGGTTCACGATGACCCACTATCAACCAAACTGTCGCGCTACGTGGCTCAGCACTGGCTTCTTAACTGCATCCATCTCGGTTCACGGGCGGTTGAGCCGCTCATCAGCATGCCCCCCTCACCTGCTTCTTGAGGGCCTCCATCTCGGCGCGGAAGCGCTGCATCTGGCGGTTGAGCTCAGTGATCTCGTTCTTGGTCATGCGCAGCTCCTCGTCGTTCCTCCCGCTGTCCGAGTGCAGGCTCTGGAACTGTTCACGCACGGCGGTGGGAGAGGCACTCGCTCACGCCGCCACTCGCCAACAAACGGCGCGATCGAGAGACTCATTCAGAGAGACGGAGGAGAGATAAATAGTTTCCACTGCACAAGTGAACCGTGCCGTGAATCTGCTGAGCCAGCCTTGTGCAGCTCAGCAGGCATCAGGTTATATTTTTTCACTGTACAAGCCGTGCCGCTGACACCTCGCGCAGTTGAAACACGTGCAGGTGACGGGGTGACGCTGTGTCCCCTACGGTGTGCTGACCTGACGTCGTACACAATGCGTGCATCATGAGCACCGCCTCTGGCCCTGTTCAGCCATGCTCGGCGCTGCTTGGCCCTGCTTGGCCCCAAGCTATATTCAGATGTCTTGTGAGGCCTACGTGTGTCATGGCTATTGTTCTGGCTTGGCATGGCAAATAGCCAGTGGAAAACCACCCAAACCGCGAAGGCCCTGCGTGGGCTCCTCTTCGAATGTGCGAGAGGAAAATGGGTAGGACGAACGGGGAGAGAGACGGAGAGAGAGATGGACACAAAAAGAGAGAGATGGACAGAGAGAGACGCAGAGAGACAGGAGGGTGGAGAGAGACGAGTAACGACGTCGCTCCGCCGGTAGGCACGCCGCCCCACCTTGTCCTGGTAGAAGGCGTCCGCCTCGGCCCGGCTCCGCGCCGCGATGGTCTCGTACTGGTGACGCACGTCGGCGATGATGCTGTCAATGTCCAGGTTGCGGCTGTTGTCGATCTCCACCAGCACGTTGGTGTGCTTGATCTGGGCCTCCAGCTCGCTGAGCTCCTGTCGAAGGTCAGTAAAAAGAATGGCGCTTGCTTATTCTTTGTCACTATTTCATTTACTAGGTGAAGCCCACGGAGCTGTACGTATGTACGTGTATGTTAAACTTCTATCGCACTGTACGTAGCCAACCATGCAAATCGGTGTGGGAGGACAAAAAAACAACGCAAAAAGCAGTTCCAAAGAAATTCGCTTTCAATGTAGATTTCAAAGCTCGCGCGTTTGCACGCGTGATCTTTCGCTCGTGTGGAAGTGAACCGTGTGCTGTGGTGGAGGATTGCTATAGTAGCGAATAAGTAGGAAGTAGAGAGGAACGTTTCGTTCAAATGTATGGCAAACAGACATGGATTGATGAGATTGTAAGTATTGGTGAGATTGATGAGTTTCAAAAAAGCGTGCTAACACTCACTTGATCAAGTGAAAACAGACGACCCCAGAGATGTTCAAGCCAAAGTAAGAGGAAGTTATCGAATGAAAGGAGGAGAGCAAGGTCGAAATGTAAGAGGCAGATGAGAGGAAAGGAAAACAGTCGCCCAAGGAGTTGTATGAAATGGAAAAATGGGGGTGGGGGGGGGGGAATAACGAGGGGATGGTGCGAGAATATTACAGGGTCAAATGTCGAGGAAGGATCTGGAAGACATAGGTGAGGAGTGTGATGTAGGAGGAGAGATGGGAGGATCCACTGCCAGGAATATCCCTGGTCTTGATCTTCCTCGAAGCTTATGGTTCACCCTAAACCGCATTTGCGCAAACCAAGGCAGATGCGGATACAAATGTAAAATGTAAAAAAAAAAAAGGAAAATTCTCCAGTGTGCAACTGTGGCCATCCAGAAGAGACCATGCAACGTATAACGACGCAATGACCGATCCACAAATACGAGGGAGACATCGCAGGGATACTACTCCGCTGCTCCTGACTCGGTTGTCTGGCTTGACCACCTGAAAGTGAATGATAGTTGTTGCTCTGCATGTACATCAGCCGTACGAAAGAAGGAGACTGACAGGAAGAAGGTTTGTACACCGACGACCCGATGACTTGCAGCAGAGGTCGCAACCGGGTACCCGATACCCGTACCCTACCCGATACCCGGCTACCCGTACCCGGCCGGGTACGGGTACAGGTACCCGTTTGCGATCCTGGTGCGGCCGGGTACGGGTACGGGTAGGCCGTGAGTCACTGGTGAGTAACCGTTTGTCACTCATTTCGGGGAGGGTACGGGTAGGGAACAGGTACCCGTACTCAGCCCATTTGCGACCCTGGTGCGGCCGGGTATGGGTAAGGGTAAGGAATCAAAACCCGTTTGCGACCTCTGCATTGCAGCAGAGGAAAGATGTTGACGACGATGATTACAGTTTCAAAGACCTATGTTTAATTATGGCAATCCATATGTAGTACTTGTTCCCATACAGTCCTGTTGAGCAATTCCTGGGACAATAGTTTGAGTGTCAGGTCAGACAGTAGGGTGGCTTCCACCCACGTTCCCATATCTACAACGAAAAAAAAAACCAATTTAGTTCATGGCTTGTACCGTTGTCCTTGAAACCCATGCCGACGATGGTACGCTTCGTTTTTACCTGGGCAAACATGGATCTCAGGAAATTGATGTCCTCTTGGAGCCCGTCGAGTTTGGCTTCGAGCTCCACCTTGGACAGGTAGGCCCCGTCCACGTCCTGCAGAGAGTGGAGAATGTGTGACGTGGCCCATTGAGCTCAGCAGCTCTTTTACAAGGACGACCACAGCCCAAGATCAATGGCAGTGGTGGCAGCTACAGGACTCTGCATGGTAGAGGGAATGTGCAAAACTAACGAGAGCAAAAACAGCCACAAATTATTTACGTGAATCCCACGCCAGAACTGACTGCAAACAGGATAAACAATGAACAGCGCTTACATACAAATCAACAATGGTGTAAAAAATCTAATCACAGGCGTTTGTCAATAATTGATATATATAATTTATTGGTGTGATATTTAATGGCTAGTGGTGAGTGATTAATCGGAAGATTAAGAGTTAGAATCCTGGTCGGGGATCAACTCAGCTCACCATCCCTCCAGCGTCGATAAAATAAGCACCATTTTGTGGGGTGGTCAATATTGGGTGTCCTATGGATAGACTCACGACCACTACCACGATAGGAATGTGGAATTTCCAACACTGGTTTAGGGCTGCAAATAAGAGATGAGCACATCCCATGCTCGATTGAGTAGGAAATCACATTTTGATGTAAAAAACACTACGCATTAGTTTCGCACCAAAAACACTCTGTGGGTTAGTTTCGCCCTAAAAACACCGTGGGTTTTTATAATGCCAAAAACACCATGGGTTAGTTTCGCACCAAAAACACCGTGGGTTTATTTTGCACAAAACACACTGTTGGTTAGTTTCGCACCAAAAACACACTGTTGGTTAGTTTCGCACAAAAAAAAACACCATGGGTTAGTTTCGCACCAAAAACACCATGGGTTTTTATAGCACCAAAAACTCTGTGGGTTTGTATACCACCAAAAACACCATGGGTTAGTTTTGCACCAAAAATACCTTGGGTTTTTATAGCACCAAAAACTCTGTGGGTTAGTTTTGCACTAAAAACACCATTGGTTAGTTTTGCACCAAAAATACCTTGGGTTTTTATACCACCAAAAACACCATGGGTTAGTTTTGCACCAAAACACCATGGGTTTGTATACCACCAAAAACACCATGGGTTAGTTTTGCACTAAAAATACCTTGGGTTTTTATAGCACCAAAAAGACCGTGGGCTTTGATCACACTCACCTTTTTGGCAAAGACAAACTCGCCCTCTCTCTCCGTGCGCATGGAGATTTCAGCCTCGTACCTGTGGAAAAGGGGCTCCTTAGTAGAGAAACATTCTGCAGATTGAATTTCATTTTTGTGGCTGCTCAGTTTTGCTTTTATAACGGCAATGAAAGAGTCGTCTTGTCATGGGGGGTTCCCCCCATATTTTTAAAATATATATATGACCGACACCGAAGCGAGATCAGCAGAAGATTACGTTTACTGTCTGTAGCTTGGCTGATGTGAATTTTGTGAAGTGCCCAGCCTATGTAATTGGATCTATGCCCAAACACGAAGTTAAATTTCACACCTACACAACAGCTCAGTTCGCTACACCTGGTACAACAACTGCAGCACTCTTAGGAACAACAATGCCATGTGTTTCTTTACTCAGAGAAGCCTCACAGATTGGCACGACACAATACATTATGGGGGTCTTGCATTGCGATTTTTTTTGTATGTGTGTTGCATGTGGGAGTAAACCAGAGCACCTAGAGAAAACCGACACTATCTCCGTGACCATATTGCAGGCCTGGTAGGTTGGGAGTTTTACAATTCTCTTTTGATCCACCAACCTTAGCCTCCAAAGCGGCGGATGCCAGGCGTGCATAGCCACCACTGCCCCTGGCTTTTACAGAATGAGGCCATCCTACACACGATTTCCTGGCTTTTACAGAATGAGGCCATCCTACACACGATTTCCTGGCTTTTACAGAATGAGGCCATCCTACACATGATTTCCCTTCCACACGAGCAGCCGTGTGACTCTGTGGCCTCTCGCCTGTTTTAAATAAATTATTAACATAAAAATTCAATCAACTCAGTGGGGAGATACGCAGTATATGGGCCTTGTGCTCAAATATCAACTCGGAACACCTCCCTGCCTGCAAAGGTAACCACTCTTCACACCTCAACGATGTTTGTTCGGTTCGCATGGCAACGCTGCCACCTACTTGGCCCTGAAGTCCTCCACGACGGCCTGCATCTGGCCCAGGTTTCCGTTCAGCTGGCCCTTGTCGTGGCCCAGGCCGTCGAGCTGCCGACGGAGCCCATTGATGTAGGCCTCGAACATCTCTTCGACGCTGGAGCCGGTCGTGGTCTTCTCCTGCAGCGCGTACCACTGCGCCTCCAGCACCTTGTTCTGCTGCTCCAGGAAGCGCACCTGAAACGACGAGAACACAAAGGAAGAGGCAATGTAAGCTCAGGAATGTTGGGGGGGGGGGGGTGATTGGCTTGAGCGGGGGCCGACCGATGCGAATCCGATCCGAGTTTGGCATTAACTCTCGTGGAGACAAACACTGCCCCCCCCCCCCCCACCTTGTCGATGAAGTTGGCGAAGCGGTCGTTGAGGTGCTTGATGGCCTCCTTCTCCTGGGTGCGGGTGGGCAGCACCGAGCGGTCGATGTCCACGGGGGCCGCGCAGGCCATCGCCGCGGCCGACACCGCCGCCCCCACTCCACCCCCGTAGCCGCCGCTGCCGTAGCTGCCGTAGCCGAAGCTGGAGGCGGCCGAGCCGGCCCGGTACGACGAGCCACCGAGCCCCGTGCTGCGGCGGCTGAACGCGGAGCCGCCCCCCGAGCCGAAGCGGCTGCCCCCCATGCCGCCGCCGAACGAGCGGCTGCTGAAGCCGCCGCTGACGACGCGAGGGCCCCCCGCGCTGCTGCGGGTGGACGTCCTCTTGGTGGTCGACACTTTGATGCTGGCCGACATGGCTGCTGCTCTGAAGGTTGATCCGGGTGGGGGAGTAGGTGGGCGATCGGTCGTTTTGGCTTTGGCAGGAGAAGCGGGCAAGTTGGCGCGCGAGAAGATGGAAGGTTTCCCTTTATATTCTGCTCAGCAGCCCTAATCCGACGCGTGCCCACCCACCCACCCACCCACCCAAATCTCTTGATTTGCTGCTTTCTGCTTTAATTGGCTGGGATTTGCAGAATCTCACCCATGCAATGTCCCCCGTATTGTCTTAGTTTTCTGCGCGCATAAGAGCCATGCAAAGTCCTATTGCTTCACGGGGTTTAAATGTTTTTTTAAATATTTGGGTTATTCTCATTCTGCAAGTGTGGCATCTGATTCATTCCATTTAGTCGAGCACCAGCTGTTGCGTTTGCGATGAACATTCTGTAACCCACGCAAGTGATGCCGAGCAAAAGAGTGTTCGTGTGTGCTTGGGTGGGGAGGGGAAATCAATTCCTGCAAGGGATGAGCAGGGCAGACTGAATGACCTTTGCCGTCATTCTACATTGCAACGTCGTCACATTGTTACATATCGGGCACTTTCCTAAATTTTTTTGGTCAAAAGCGATGCATTATTTTGCAATCTGGAACTCCCTTTCCCCAGCAAGATATGTTAAACTTACAGCTTCATATATCTTTGGTTTTTCCACTGCCCATGACGGTTTGCCTCTCTCTGTCCTTAAAATCAATGCGCACTGTGTAGATGTAGTGTCTCAATATGTGGTTACAGTTAGACTTTAATTTTAAATTATAGATGCATAAAGAGACCCATCGACTTACACATAGACCCATAGACTCACGCAGATACCTTTGGCTATAAGCTAAATATGCCCTCTGTACAAATGTTATTCTAAAAAAACACATTTTATTGCATTTTATGGCTTTAGTGCAGAAGCACCGAGTAAACTTCCCACTTCCAACTTCAAAGTGGAGGAACAGGCAGAGGTCATGCGAGTCCACTGTCATACAGTCTCTCACTGAAGTTTCACGTTTCACCTGAGCTCGCAGCACGAGTGTATTTCAAATCAACATTAACAGTGGATCTTTTCCTATCTGCAATGTTATTTGTGTGCACAACCACCGTGTGTGTGCTTCCCACTTGGCATGCCTCGGTGTGGTTGGTGTGCAGACAGGCGCTTGCTCTCTGGGACGCAAGCCGTCAAGGTTTACCGAGCAAGGGCCAAGGAATAGGAAATTGGCCTCACAAAGTCCCTGCCATGTCTCATTAAATATGAATCCATCGATGTGGCCTCTTGCCAACGAGCTCAGGACATTGTGACCGCTGGACAGTGAGCATTTATCGGGTGGTAAAATTAATGTTTATGATTGTATATTGTGTCGTCCATGCAAATGACATCTCACAATAGCTGAGGAACCACAGGCAATGGTGGAAGGCACTCAGGTGGTGAGCCGGCGCGACCAACAGTTGCCCAAGCTCTGCAGTCCTCTATTTATTGAGATGTTTTCAGTCGACTCATGAGTGTTTATACCTGTGGGAGGAAAACCGAAGCACCCAGAGAACACCCAATGGTGTGAGGGGGCAACATTTTATCCCATACATTATTAGAGATGTTAACTACCTCGCCTGCTATTCAGGACGTCATCGGTTTGATCCCGACCCTGACGCCTGCTGTATATTTGGAGTTTGCGTGTTCTCCCTGTGGCCACGTGAATTATTTTCCTGTTCCTCTGGTTTTTTCCCTCCACATTTAGAAACACTCGTTTAGAGTATGTGGCAGCTATAAATGTCCACGCGATAAGCCACTTCCCTGAGCTGTCATTTATGGCCAGATCACGTCTGAAAAACAGCTCCGTAGCTTAGTCGGCCTTACCTGTTCAAATCGAAATGGTTGATAGTTTTAGTGAATATTAGTCTGCACTTTGCTGCACCGCCTTCTCCTGGGAAGTCAATGTATGACACATCGATGCCCATAGGTAGCAAGATTCGCACCACGTGTGTGAGATCCACGAATCATCGACTCCACACTGCAGAGAGTACAGGGGTGCAGTGTGTCCGTGTGTGTTTCTGCTTGTGTGTGTACGCGAGCAGTGGCACATTTTTCTACGCACTACGCTCAGATGTCACAAAGCTGCGTTTGATTCCCAGCCACAGCTAACGTCAGTGGCGAATTATACGTGAATCTGTTCTGTGCCTCTCCTAGATTAACTCGGCCTTAAACGAATGCCTGGCGTGATGTGTCAATGTCAGCAGCGGGGAATGGAAGGCGGGTATGGCATGATACTGGCTACACCACTGCCTAGTGCGTCGTGTCAGCCTTAATAGGTGCTCGCAAAGAGCACTTTCTCGATCGAGTTACACGGACAATCTTTGCTTTCTTGAATGTGTTCCGCTGCATTGCAATCAATCTCCGTGAATTGTGTTTCAAATGTCTGGCCGTGTTGCACACGTAACCAGTGTGCAGCAGTCAGAAACCCGAACCTGTCCCGGGACTCTTCTAGGTCGCCTCAGCCTAAAGTGATTTGGAGCAGCAGTAGTGTGTCAACATAGGGGCCGGAGAAACAACGGTGACTCATGCGAATCGCTGGCCGTACCACCCTCCCACTTCCGCCCGCATCGTTCTTTGAAAGGAGCTCGCTTATGAACACTTCCCCAAGACTCTGACAGATAAAATGAGGGGCCTCGTTGCCACTGTGGTGTGTTTGTGGGTCCAGCAGAGGGTTGGACCGAGACAAAATGGCACAGTTCATTAACTCCATCATCCAGCCGTTCACTCCTAGAAACCACATCAAATAGTTTACCTGTCATCAAGAAACCCCCCACCTCCTCCCACCTCCTCCCACACAGGGGTTGACTCAGCCGAAAATGATGATCGGGTGTAGTAGTTTTTAAACACCAGCAGCACTTTGGGGCACCTTTAGTAATTGGGGCGTAAATTGGCGACTCCTCCTGTCACTGGGTCACTGTGTTAGGCTGGCTGTGGTGATACTACCGCTGAGGTGGTTTCTTTTAGGCGGTTGTGCCACACAGCCACTTTCGATGTTTTACCGTGTTGTACAGTACCGGCACGTTGTCCGACGTTTCGTTCCTTCCACGTGCTCGGAGCTTCGGGAAGTGAAAACAGGTTCCAGCACGCGGAGTGGTGCACGGAATGTTCGGATGTGCTATATAAGAACGGGAGACAGCAGAGCCTCACCATTCTGGCGAATTGCCCGATGATGCTGGTTGCAATTACCAGCGAAACGTCGTACTCAAATTGTAAATGTTGTGGCTTCAACACACCGGTGGGCTAAAGCAGTGAACTATTTGTCTTTGTCAACGTGACACATTTTTACTGATTGGCCGTGTCGGGTGGTGGAGGGTTACGACACATTTATAAATAACGCGATCTAAACCCAAAAACGTTGATTATGATCAAATGCCGTTTGCTGCCTTCAGGAATTGAATTGGGTTCCCTAAGAATCTCCCAGAACATGAAGTGAAACGTCGACCATGATCCCTTCCTCGTGATGCGTCCTGCCCATCACCCAATCACTGCTGGATTCAGGTCGTGGGAGTCGTTTGACCATACTTCACCACACTGGTCAGGGCGGGTTGGTGAAGGGGAGGTCCAGGACCGGTTCATGTATGTCACTTCCCACACTAACCGTGGTCAGGTCACGAGCTCAGGTCGCCAGGGTGTCGTGTGTGAACCACTGTGCCACCACTCCTCCTGCCATTTTAATAAACATGATTAATGCCCTTTATCTATCCAGCAAAAGCTTCACCGAGTCTCTAGGTACATTTTCAGGAGGGTCCTGCTACAAATGGGATATTTGGCCAATTCCATGAATAAGCATTTGGCTTTTTGCGGGAGGAGACCGCATAACCGGGAGATAACCTGGAGATAACCTGGAGATAACCCAGAGATAACCCGGCACCGCACTGTATACGAGGAGGGTAACACCCGGCACTGCCATCTCCCGACTACATTTCTTAGCCCTGACTCCTTACAAACACCAGGCATGTTCTGTCAATTGTCTCACCCGCCTCTCCCAAGTGCAGTACTCAGCAAGGCTCGACCCCGCTTAGCTTCGGTTGATTCGATGGCATTGGGCGAGCTGAGGGTGATTGGGTTGTGTGTGTGTGGGGGGGGGGGGGGGGCAACAGAGAGCGATGGTGGTGCGTAGAGCAGTCGCGCGACAACGACGACAACGATGATGACGATGATGACAATTGACTGTCTCTGTGCAAAGTGAAGCTATGCATCCCGCGTCTGCACAGCATCTCGAGATGCACGGTCGTGATCGTCTGCAGGGTGCGGCACGGCACCTCCGTCATGTGACACAATTGCCCCTCGATGTAATCGGATCCTGTTTCCTCGCCACGCATGCATGGTCTTGACTTTTAAAGGGACTTATATTTTATATAAGCCGTCATTTGCAGTCCTAGGCTCGAGCGCAATTACCGGCGTTTTATATAACAGCCACCATGGGTTTTGGTTGAAATTGCATGGACACCTGCGGGAGGAGACGGTGGAGGAGATATCAACCACACTCGCGGCTAATTGCTGCAATTGTGGAATTACGTTGCTCAAGAAAAATTAAAAATAATTACCCGGCTTTTTGCCGCACCTACGTCTTCCTTACAATAAAATCTGAAGGAAAAAAAAAGGCGTTAACGATTTAAAAAAAAAATCTATCCTCCTTCGCTTAATGTGCGAAATAACAATTACGCACTCGCCTTTCGTATTATCCGGATAATTCCTAAATTTGGTAGCGACAGATTTACGCGTTTGAATGGAATTTAAAATAGACGACGCAAAGTCCGTAATGGCTTATAACAAAAAAGGGGGTTATATTGTGGGTATTGTTCGTGGCGCTGTGAAGGCAAACAACCGCGCCTTCGTGACGAGTGGCAGTGCCGTGAGCTTCGGAACTTGCCCAGCGGTGCACGGCCATTGGGGACAGCCGTGGTGCCGACTCCCTGCCCCTGGTCGAGTCCAAGTGCAAGACTCATCTCTTTCCTGACTCTCTCTCCTTTCCATCATTATCACCATCATCGTCAACTTCCGACTGGCCCATAATTTTCCACACCATCATTGTTATCACATCATCATCATCATCACCACTGCCAATGACTATGACCGACTGGTCTCTCCTCTGGCCTCCTGTTCCCCAATTGAGGCAACCCGTCCTCCCAGTTTGTCGCAGCGTCTCGAGACCCATGGCGTCGTGTGGCTTTGGCATGGCCCCTGGCGCAAGGAATGAGTTGGGCACTGCCTGCGCGCCGATAGAAACGCCAATGCCTTGTGCCCCTTGTACCCGCATCCTTGTCTAATAGAAACACACGTTCTGCTGCTGTAACTTGATGTTACCACCATAGTTACACACAGCTCCCTGACGTTAGCTTTTTTGTTTTTACCGCCTACAAAGCTGAGCTGCGCCTTGTCGTCCACTATGTCCCAACCTTGATTGTTTTCCCTATCGCGCGACACGTCCGGCCACTTTGCACAATGTTTCGCTGTCTAAAAGTCGCGGGATGAAATCCTGGCTCGGAGTTGACTTCAGCCCTCCATCTTTCCATTGCAGATCAAATGAGCAAATGCTTTTTTGGGAAGTCAAGAGTTGTCGTCCTACCGATGTACTCACTCCGGTTACAGGAAGGTGGAATTAAAAATACTAAGACAAGGTTAACATATAAAAGATGAGCACCGGCCCTCGATGACTGTAGAATTTTCCTCTTTTCAACTTTGGTGCCTTCTTTATAATTTCAATAGTCGTACGATGGGCATCACATCATGAGACGAAGAAACGATTGGGAAATCTCACCGAGCAGCATGCCCCTTGTGTCAGATCACTGAATGTAGTGGGAATTCGTTTAAAGACGGAATTGAGCAAAATCAAGTGCAAAACCGAATTTCATGATTTTTTTTCATTCAGTCATTGATCACCGGGCTGATGCCCATCAACTTGCTACAGTTGAGAACTCGATTTATTCATGGGCGGCTGAAACCTGGATTCCAACCGAGGATGTCAGCGGTGCTAGCAAAGCGCCGTGACCTATGAGCCACACAGCCACTATTTCTTCAACCTCTTCAAGGTAATCAAAGCGACGTGTAGAGCGAGTCGGAGGCAACGGTCACCCTCCTGCTGGCGACTGCAGCAATGCCGAGGCAGTCTGGCATGGCTCAGGAGACGCCAGGTTGAAATATACAATTTTCACAACGACTAGCGGCCACATTTGGTCATTTAATTCATTCCTAGTACTCCTAAGAAGTCCCGTCATGCTGAAATTGCCCAATTATTTTGAAATCGTACAGTTAAGTGGTGTGGATCTGCAGAGCACAGAGCAGGCGAGGAAGAATGTGGATTCTTGGGGTGAGTATGTAATTATTCTCGGTGGTGAGTGAACACACTTCTGTGCGGGAGGCAATTACCGTCCAGCGGAAGCGATTTACAATTTTAAAAATTTTACCAGGTAAGGCCCACTGAGCAATATCGTTTTTTTTTCAGTAGCGACCTGGCCACCAATGATAGCTCATAGAAGTGGCTCATCACATGGAAATGTATAGCAACCAAATACTCTAAATGCACGTATCTAAATGTGGAGGGAAAAACTGGACGACCCGGAGAAAAAGCCACGCGATCACGGGCAGAACATGCAAACTCCAAATATACAGACATCAGGGTCAGGATCGAACCCTCGTCCAGCAGCGGTAGTTAACATCTCACCACCATGACGCGCCCCATTTGCTTCCTTTTGTGAAACCCAATGAATAGCTATCACCGTTTGCCTCGAATTGGCAGTGATGTCACCAGAGTGCTTGTTTCAGACTGGATGCCCCAGTGTGGTCGCAATGCCCTATCTGTGTGTGCGCGTGCTACTTGCTGGTAATGTAATTGAAGTGGGAGGGGGGGGCAGTGCACAAAGATCCTTCCTCCTCCTTTTAATCTACACAGGCTGTCGAGGCAAGTGCTATTAGTGAGCACTTGTGAACCTGTGAACACGCTTTCACACGCATATACCAGAGGTCGCAACCGGGTACCCGATACCCGTACCCTACCCGATACCCGGCTACCCGTACCCGGCCGGGTACAGGTACGGGTACCCGTTTGCGACCCTGGTGCGGCCGGGTACGGGTACGGGTAAGGAATCAAAACCCGTTTGCGACCTCTGGCATATACACATACGTATGTGCACAATAGCAACCGCTATTTCTTTCGAAGTAATGGTTACATCAACATAGCGCTTGGGCCAGGCGAGGTGGACTTTGAGGCCACGTGAAGTACGGCAGGAGGTCATGGGATAGGCCAAGGTGTTTACGGGGTTAACGGAGACTGGCGGATGCACCACCCGTTAAAGTGGTTGTGCCCGTAACCAAACACAAAGCACTCAAAGACAAACATTCCTTGTAAGAGTCACACAGGCTGTAGGGGTAAGTGCGGTTTGCGAGTGCATTTTGATGAGGGCAGGCAAGGTTTGCAAGGGCGGTTGTGTGGCTAGAACCAACACCCGGGCCGCCTCCATCTCCCCAGTACTGATGTTTACACACTCATTCAAGGCTCAGTTGGGCCTAGGGCAGGGGTCAGCAATCAAAATAACAAAAATAGCCAATTGTTTTCGAATTCGGTAAAAACAAATATTTCCAGAGCCGCAATGCACTGTGGTGAATACGAGATGGTCAACTGGACTTCCATGGTGAACTGGACTTCCACGGTGAACTGGACTGCCACGGTGAACTGGACTTCCATGGTGAACTGGACTGCCACGGTGAACTGGACTTCCATGGTGAACTGGACTTCCATGGTGAACTGGACTTCCATGGTGAACTAGACTGCCACGTTGAACTGGACTTCCATGGTGAACTGGACTTCCACGGTGAACTGGACTTCCATGGTGAACTGGAATTCTACGGTGAACTGGACTGCCACGGTGAACTGGACTTCCATGGTGAACTGGACTTCCATGGTGAACTGGACTTCCATGGTGAACTAGACTGCCACGGTGAACTGGACTTCCATGGTGAACTGGACTTCCACGGTGAACTGGACTTCCATGGTGAACTGGACTTCCACGGTGAACTGGACTTTCAATGGTCAGGGGTCTTCAACCACAACACCAAGAAGAGACGTTGCTATTTAGAATTTCAAGAGCCCGCACTGCGGTCATTAAAGAGCCTCCGGAGCAACAGGTTGCCGGCCACTGACCCCAGGAGGATACCCAGGACAGGTGCAGATTTCACTTTGACGCTGACGTTTAGCGGTGGCTGGGAATCAACCTCAGTTCACACACACACATTTGTATAAGAACACAGCTCAGTCATGGGGAACGAGTGCATTTTTTGTGGGTCTGTGTTTATTCACGGTCTTCGGGGAAAACGCACGTAAAGCTCGGTACCGTGTAAAGTTGGGTTACAGAGTCAATGATTATTATCCGAGTTAACACAGGACATGGGTCCCATATAAACCAAAGCATACCTTTTCTGGCGTGGAGAGGCGCCCATTTTACTGTGCAAAATCCCAAACGAAAAGCATCGTAACATTCTTCAAGCTCGTTCAGCTTTCATCCGCGCAAGCAATGCCTACATCTTCGCCTTTAATACGTTTTGCATGCCCGCTTAAAGCCCCGTCTCTTGACGATCCTCTATCATAATGTAACGACCAAAGAATTACCCCAAGCCAATGTGCAGCTTAACGGCTCTTCAAAAAAATAAACCAAGGTCTCCGAATGGCCGAAAGAGGCCTCCACAGGGATTGGTCGGTGAGGAAGGCTTTTAAAGTGATTGGAGAAAAGGGTCTGAATGAGACTAGGCGGGAAACAGAGTGGAACCCAGAGGTGAAGTTTGGGATCCTTTATAGGGGAGGGACAGGGGATTGGCTGAGGGAAACGCAGTGAGGGAACGTTCCAGAAAGGGGGCTGGAACGAAATAAAAGGGCAGAGCACAACGGGGGGAGGAAAGGCAAGCTGAAGACAAGATTGAAGCCAAGGGGTTCCCGTATATTGTGGCCGTGTCCCAACAAAGTGGCCCCTCTTACTTCGTCGTCAAGAGTCGTTACAGTAGCACTCACACCTCCACTTTGTACTCTAGAATGAGGGGCTCACAGCTCACAGAGAAGAAGGATGTGTTTCGGGAGCTTCTCCTCCGGCCTTGTTCAGAGCCACTGGAACAACACGAGAACCGAGTCCTCCTGTTGTCGACTCTGCCTCTCTCTGGTCTCTCCACGTGCTGCGAAGAAGGGCCATTTGCCCAAAACGTCTCCCTATCGTGAACGGTGTTTTCCTTTTAAAGCCACAGTGCTGTTGATAAATGTGTTGAGTTGTTTTTGCTGCTGTTAACTGTGCTTGTGCATCACTGCCAACGCAGCAGCAGCATCACCAGGTAACTCCTTTAATCCGATGGTGGCAAACGTAACGCCTCCAGTGGCTGGAGGGTGCACGTTTCCGACCATACATATGTATGTTGACTTTCTTTCGCACCGTATGTGACCAACCGTGCCAATCGGAGGTACAGGGGAAGGACAACAAACTAAACACAAAAAGCAGTTCTAAAGAAATACATTTTCCATTTAGACCGATCGCACATGCAACATTTGATATCCAATCGACACGTCGCGACGTTGCCAGGGAAACACAGAGCTCTCGCACCGCTATGCCCCGCGGGCGCTTTAAACCCCGTTAACATCGCCTTCATCCAGCAGTGGATTGACAATGGACGATGACGACGACGAGCTTGGCGAGAAGGCTCCGCCTCGCTGTGCCCTCAGTCTCGGATGACCTCGGACTGCTCGGACACCACGTGGCCGTCCTTGGTCTCGATGGTCTTGATCACGACCATTTTCTTGGACTGCTTGGTCTCCACCACCTTTGTGGGCACGGTGTAGTTGTATGTGGAGCCTCCGCTGTAGCCTGCGTCCACGGGACAGTGACAGAGGGCAGTTGTTGACGGCCGGCAATGCACAACGTGTGATCATTTACTCGGAAGGTTTCCCTCGCTGTGCGTGCGCGTTCGCCGTCTGCGATGTTGCGCTGCATGCTCGGCTAACCTACTGCTGCCCAAAATTCACGACGCGCCGTTCGAATTCACTCGCGTGCGGCTGTGTGGTCGGACGCGGAACAACGTTGTTTGCATCCTGAGTGCGCTAGTCGGCAGGCAGCTGTATTCTCGTGCGGTGCATTATGGGCTGGGTGACTGTGCGGTCCACCTTACGCGATTTCGCTTTGCGCGCCCCTTTTTTTGGAATGCATCTACCGCACAAAGCTCGGGAAACCTGTGGTTATGTCTAATCACAGGTTGCGATTGTTTACAATAACGAGGATCATAATTTATGGACCTATAGCAATCCCCTTGCTGGATGAAGGCCTCGACAATGCCGCGTCGGTCACGGGGGGGACGGGGTTGTGTGACCATACTTCACCGCCACTGGTCAGTGCACGTCGGTGAAGGTCCAGGACCCTGCTTTGGTTTTCGCTCACCACTGATGTTTAGCTGTGGCTGGGGAATCAAACTTGAATCACCCGGTTCCCCGCGCTGCGTGCGAGCCGACCACTGTGCCGCCAAAGGATCGCGGTTCGAACCCGACAGGCCGCCCTGGTCACTACTGCGGGTGTGTCATTCGTAAAACACTGACCGTCTGCATCGCAGTCGACCGTGACGTCTTTTAAAAGAGACTAGGCAGTTGTGTGCCAGCTTTGACAAATTTGAAAAATGACACCGCAAATTACTCAATTGAGATGACGCGTAGTGACACCGCCCCACCAAACTGCGGTAGCTCGAATACCAAATGTGCTAAATGATGATACATTTTAAAGTGACAATTAATATTATGATAATCGCAGAGAGCTTACCGGTGGAGGCTGACAGTCCCACGGTGGAGGTGCCAGAATAACTGCCTCCTCCTCCGTAGTAGTAGGGGGTGGCATCGACGCACGTGTTGTAGGTGACACTGGAGGCGTTGCCTCCGATCTGTGACGAGTACACGTTGAGCCTGCGGGAAGAGCGTCGGCACGGCCGTTTTTGATTCGCTCCCTCGGGCTGGACGGCACGTGCTCGAGACCTGGCGGTGCACGTGACCCGCGCTGGGCCTCCTCTCGGTCGGGCAGTGCCCCCACTCGTTGAAGGTCGTCCAGCACACCACGGCCGCACAATCGCGACACTCCACACGACGTTTTTATTTTATTTTGCCAGGTAAAGGCCCGCTGAGCTATATAACTCTTTGTCAGAAGTGACCTGGCCATAAATTATAGCCCGACGAAGTGGCTTATCTTGCGGCCGAATGCACTAAATGCACGTTGATTCTTAATGTGGAGGGAAAAACCGGAGGACGCAGAGAAATATCCACGCGACCACGAGGAAAGAGAGAGAAACACGCATAATCCAAATACACAGCAGGTGTCAGGGTCGGGATCGAATCCACGATCTCCTGTATACCAGGACGAGGTAGTTAACATCTCTCCACGCACCTGGACTCCTCTCCCTCCAGCAGCTTGCGGTAGGTGACGATCTCGATGTCCAGAGCCAGCTTGACGTTCATGAGCTCCTGGTACTCGCGCACGTGCCGCGCCATCTCCTGCTTGGCCTTGTGGATCTCCTCCTCCAGTTGGGCGATGGCCGCCTTCGCCTCCCGGATGTCGGCCTCTCCGCGTCCCTCCGCCTCGGCGATGGCCGCCTCCAGCTTGGCGCGCTGCGAGGACGGACGGAGACGAAGATAAAGGCCTCCCCGTGTAGCCTGAACAGGACTGTTGGGGCAAGTGCTGTTAGCGAGCACCGATGAAGGCCGGCACGGCACACGAGGGGGTGAGTTGCCAGTACCACGCCCGGCCGACTTTGTCTCGCGAGTGGCGATGTTTACACACCGCACCGGGTACTCATTTGAGGCTGAGTCGACCTAGGGGAGGCCCAGGACCGGTGTAGATAATCGTCACTTGTGTTGGCTGTGAGCGGGAGTCGAATTCTGGTCGCCGGGTTCGTAGTGCAGCGCGCTAACCACTACACCGCCGCTCCACACACGCACGTGCGCAGAGAGAATTAATATTATTTAATTAAAAACAACGTCGATTCTTACGAACGTGATTCGGCGCGTTCATCGTGAGCGTCGTTTCGCCCTCACCTGCTTCTTGAGGGCGTCAATCTCCGCCCGCATGCGATGGATGTGGCGATTGTTGTCGTTGATCTCGGTCCTGATGATTCGCAACTCATCGTCGTTCCTGCCACTGTCCGAGTGGAGCCTGTCAAACTGGGAATGGCGTCCACGTCATCATCATCGTCATCATCATTATCGTCATCATCAGCATCATCAGCTCAAGCCATACCAGTGGTACCACCTCTACCACGCTGTTGTGTACTTAAGAGAGTTTTAGCACTGTCTGAAAGGGAGTGTATGTATATATGACTCAACACTTGCACAGCTGAATTCCAGCCGAGTCTGTCTGAGCCACTCACCCACTCAGCCACCCAGCCAGCCAGCCAGCCACCCACACACTCACCAAATCCACCTACCCACCAAAATCCAACCACCCACCCACCAAACCAACGCACAAACCCACCCATCCACCAACCCAAATCCAACCCACCCACCCATCCAAACCCACCAACCCACACCCACCCACCCACCCAAACTGACCCAGGAAACATTCAGTGAGATATTATGGGGGGGAAAGGGGGGGCCGCTCCACCTTGTCCTGGTAGAAGGCGTCCGCCTCGGCCCGGCTCCGCACCGCGATGGTCTCGTACTGGTGACGCACGTCGGCGATGATGCCGTCAATGTCCAGGTTGCGGCTGTTGTCGATCTCCACCAGCACGTTGGTGTGCTTGATCTGGGCCTCCAGCTCGCTGAGCTCCTGCAGAAGGGCCCCGTGCCCGTTAGGGCGAATTATTGAGATTGCCGTTTCAATTGGACAGCAACTAGGAGGGCAAAGTCGCTGTGGAATTCATTCTTTTTTTTATCTTGGTTAGCCATATGACACAGACGGTCACTGCATCGCATGTGCTTTCAGATGTGCTTCTGCGGCCGTCTGGAACGCTCTGCCTTCCGCTATTAGGAAACCACTGGAACGATACACTTTTCAATCTACATTGAAAACTTATTTCCTTCTGATTTGCTTTTAGTGTTTAGTTTGTTGTACTTCCCCCGCACCCTCTGATCAGCACGGTTGACGATGTACGGTGCTAAAGAAGTTCAACATACATACGTACATCTTCACGAAAGAGGATTTTTGGGGGGCGCAGGGTCAGTGCGGTGGCGAGCACTGACCCTGCGGTGCTAGCCACCATTACAGTACGTGGCCATGAACGACAGATGTAAGTGAGCATGCGTTATGAATGAATGCTGTGGTGAGATGCTGTTTCCCTCGTCTGCTATGAAGGATTGCGTGGGTTCGATCCCGCACCCTGATGATGCCTGTTGTGTATTTGGAATTTGCTTGTTCTCCCTGTGGTGGTCGAGTGAAGTTTTACTCCGAATCTTCTGGGTTTTACCTCCACATTTAGAAACATGCATTTGTGTTATTTGGCTATTTCTATAAAGTGAGCGATCATTCGTGGCCAAGTCGCCTCTGAACAAGCACTAATAGCTCAGTGGGCTTAAGCTGCTAAATAATAAAATGAAATGGAATCCTCAACGGGACCAGCTCACGCGTGGCATCGACACGGGGTGTGGCATCGCGACTCCATTGGGAGTGGTGACAGCGTGGCGAGGCCCTCACCCAGCAGTGGATGGTGACTACGATTGTTTAACGCCTCGAGCGATAAGATACGCACCTGAGCAAAGATCTCCCGCAGGAAGTTGATGTCCTCGACCAGACCTTGCATCTTGGCCTCGAGCTCTATCTTGATGACGTGGGCTGCATCGACGTCCTGTGAACGAGAACGAGGCCATTGCTCTTCTCGCCATCGTTGCACGACGCGTTAAGGGTGACGGAATACCGCCGCATCCGCACACGCTACATTCGTAAATCTGACGAGTAGCGAAAGCCTTCCAATGACACCATGGCCGTAGCGTGGTCGGTACTGGTCCGTGTCAGAGGTCGCAAATGGGTTTTGATTCCTTACCCGTACCCATACCCGGCCGCACCAGGGTCGCAAATGGGTACCCGTTCCCTACCTGTACCCGTACCCTACCCGAAATGAGTGACAAACGGTTACTCACCAGTGACTCACGGCCTACTCGTACCCGTACTGGGCCGCACCAGGGTCGCAAACGGCTAGCCGTACCGGATACCCGGTCGGGTACGGGTAGCCAGGTATCGGGTAAGGTACGGGTATCCGGGTACCTGATTGCGACCTCTGGTCCCTGTGAAAGGAATCAAGTGTGCCCTCCCCCCCCCCCCATGTGAAATTTCCCCCTCTTCATAGCCCGGCCCTCTGGATTCTTCTGGCCCAGTGCAGTTGCACCGCCTGCACACTCGATAGCTACACCGCCGTATGGGTCTCTGTGAGTCTATGGGTCTCTGTGTGAATCTACGGGTCTCACGTAAGTCCATGGGTTAGGCCTATCCATTTGCGTATACAGGTCACTAAGCCTATGGGTCTCTTATGTTAGTCAGTGTATGGGTGTCTATGTGAGTCTGTGGGTCTCTCTATATGTGAGCCTCTGGGTCCAGTGGCATAGCTTGCTTGGCATGGGCCCTGGTGCAAGGAATTAAAAGGGGGATCCCCAATCCTGTCCCAATTTCCTTCCCCTTCGTAGCCCGGAATATGGAATCCCACCGGTCTGCGGGCCCCGGGTACAAAACGGGAATATTTTCAACCTGGCCACAAAAAAATGTGTTTCTAATTTTAGCACGCAGTCAATTCTGTCACCGCAAGGGCCTCTTGCAGCCACAGAAGTAACCGACCTGTGTGTGTGTGTGTGTGGCCCGCCAACGGTGTTGAAAAGTGCTGGTTAGCCCTCGACGTTGCTGACCCGCCCACACTGGACATCTGTGACAAAGAGCTTCACAGCTCATCGGATTCCTCCTGCAGCCTAAATACAAATTGTCACGTGGCTCATCGGTAGAGCGCGCGCGGCGTCGCAATCGGAAGGTTGCGAGTTCAAATCCTGCTCGTAAAGTTGCCTCGGCCAATCATCCCCTCCAGGGGTTGATACAATGAGTACCACTTTTGCGGGGGGCGGGTGGAAGTCAACCGTAGTTATCCTATGGAGAGACTCACCTCCCACATAGGGAAGTCTGGATTTTACACTCAAGAACTCGGGGCTGTGAAGGGGGAGATGAACACTGTCCCGTTGTTCTTATGGGCATGAAATGAGCAGAGGCAGGGCTCTCCACACCCGCCGGTTTAGATGTCATCGACACGAGAGAAGCAAGTGACGAGCTCGCGCTGTGAGCTGTCACCTTCTTGATGACGACGTACTCGTTCTCCTTGTGAATGCGTGCGGTGATCTCCGCCTCGTACCTGTCAATAACAAAAACACGAAAGATCCCCCGTGTAGCCTTGAGAGACTGTTGGGGCAAGCGCTGTTAGCGAGTAGCACCTATGAAGGACGGCACGGCACACGCCAAGCCGCCTTTGGCTCCCCAGTGGCGATGTTTACACACAGCACCAGGTACTCATTTGAGGCTGAGTCGACCTAGTGGAGGAGGTCCAGGACCGGTTCAGATTATCGTCACTGGGTGTTTTGTCCGTGAGCAGAAATCGAACTCGGGTCGCCGGGTTCGTAGCGCAACGTAGCACTCACCGCTACACCACCACTCCCCACGCTAAATATATAACAGACAGACAGACACGCGCGCACGCGATCATTAATGGCACCGAAACAGGATTGGGGTGATTTGATGTGTATGCTCATCAGAGCGACTCGGGCTCACCACCCCAAATCTAATCATCGCTGAATGATGCATGCAATCGCACGTCCACGAATGAGTGGTGATGCTTATTTGGCAGCCCTCTTTGGTTCCTTGCCCTGGGGCAAGGAATCAGACGGGATTCCCCTGTTCAGTGTACGTAGCCTGGCACCTTGCCTCCCTGTAGCCCGTGGACCCTGGTGGACCCCAGTGGACCCCAGTAGACCCTGGTGTGGTGGCACCAGGATTCCCCTGGCCACTGGGCATTGTGGGCCTTGTGTGACGTTAGTGATGCAAGGCTTAAGCAAAGTAGGCAAATGCATTGGGCCTCAAGTGGCTCAGGGGGAAGAGATGCATGAAAATATGGCATTGCAACAAATACTAGCTCAAAATCAAACTCGTATAAAAAAATTAATCTAATCGTTCTAAAAGCGCTACAACTTGACTTTCATTGATATTCATTAACTAACTATTTCAAACAACGTTCATACGATTCGGTTGTATAGCTTGTCCAGCATGTGATGTCTGTAGTCACGTGACGTGTCCAAACACAGGCAGACCTCGCTTAGTGCTCAGGGTTGCGTTCCTGGAGGAGTGAGCGCTAACCGAATCGGCATTCGACGGGGCTGCGCTAAGTGAGGTCTGCCTGCATATTAATTTCTGCTTCGAGCACCCCCAGTGTGGAAGTTCGCAGCACTACCATCACCACCGCCGCCTTTCGGCCTGTGCCCAGCAACCGTGAGCAATGGCACAACTCCTCCACGAGGTCTCACTTGCTCATGAAGTCCTCCACGACGGCCTGCATCTGGTGCAGTTCTCCGTTCGCCCGGCCGTTCTCGTGGCCCAGGCCATCGAGCTGCCGCCGGAGCCCGTTGATGTAGGCCTCGAACATCTCTTCGATGCTGGAGCCGGTCGTGGTCTTCTCCTGCAGCGCGTACCACTGCGCCTCCAGCACCTTGTTCTGCTGCTCCAGGAAGCGCACCTGAAACGACGAGTACGCGAAGGAAGAGGCAAAGTGGGCTCAGGAATGGGGGGGGGGGGGGTGATTGGCTCGAGCGGGGGCCGACCACTGCCGTGCCCCGCGGGGGAACGTGAATCCGATTCTGTTCTTGGACACGAGTTGCATGCAGCTCAATGTATGTACGTACGTTAAACTTCTTTCACGCCATACGAAGACAACCGTGCTTATCAGAGGTGCGGGGGAAGGACAACAAACTGGACAGAAAAAAGCAGTTCTAAAGAAATGAGTTTTCAATTCAGATTTAAAGCGGCATAGCTCCAGTGGTTTCCTAGTGTGGGCCGCAGAAGCGCATCTGAAAGTGCGCGATGCGGTGACCATCTTTGCTCGATGGCCAGCCAAAAGCCGCTGCGAGGATGACCGGCGTTTGCGTGATGATGGTTTATACTCCTGGACGAGTGTTCTTGGCCGCCAGGTGTATATTTATGCTGTACTTAAGCAACTATCCCAGTGGTCATTCCAATGTAGAGGATGTTAATCACAACTTCACAACTCCCTTTGCAACCTGCATATCAGTCATGCCCTTCATATCAGCCATAGCAGTCATGCATTTTTATTATGCATGTCATGCATGATTTAAATTCAGGCCTAAACAAACGTGGCTTTTTCATCACGGATTTTCAAAATGAGCCCAGCTTCTGAAAAGAGGATGTGTGGTACATGTTTGTTGAATGATGCGTGATTCCCATTTTGAACGCCACGTAATGGACAGTGAGGAATGGGCGACAGCGTTGGGGGAAGCCTTCTGCCAGCTGTGGATGGCCTCATGGTTGACGATCGTGAGGGATTACGAGGCATGTAGTGTAAGCGTATTCACTGCAAGGCTTCTGAGAAGAGTATTTGGCTGCAATACATTTCCACGTGATAAGCCACTTCGTTGAGCTATCATTTGTGGGTCGGATCGTTTCAGGAAAAGAGCTGTATTGCTCAGTGCGCCTAACCTGGGTAAAATAAAAATAGTACAAAAATAATAATGTGTGTGGTAAATGGTTGAATGCTGGAGTGGTTCTCGGACAATCATAGAACAATATAATGAGGGGGACTCATAGAGATGAACCTCGACTTCTGAACTCCCACCGAAATATTTTCTTGTGGTGGTGGTGGCTGAAGTGGTAGTGTTGGTGATAGTGGTGGTGGGTGGTGGTAGTGTTGGTGGTGGTAGTGAGTGGTGGTAGTGTTGTTGGTGATGTTGGTGGTGGTGGTAGTATTGGTCGTAGTGAGTGGTGGTAATGGTGGTGGTGTTGGTGGTAGTAGTGGTGGTAGTGTTGGTGGTGATGTTGTTGGTAGTGGTGGTAGTGTTGGTTGTAGTGGGTGGTGTTGGTCGTAGTGACTGGTGGTAGTGGTGGTGGTAGTTAGTGGTGGTGATAGTGGTGGTGGTAGTGTTGGTTGTAGTGGGTGGTGGTGGTGTTGGTCGTAGTGAGTGGTGGTGATAGTGGTGGTAGTGTTGGTGGTGATGTTGTTGGTGGTGGTGGTAGTGTTGGTTATAGTGGGTGGTGTTGGTCGTAGTGAGTGGTGGTAGTGTGGTGTTGGTGATAGTGGTGGTGGTAGTTAGCGGTGGTGGTAGTTAGTGGTGGTGGTAGTGGTGGTGGTGATAGTGGTGGTAGTGTGGCTGTAGTGGTTATGGTTATGAGAGTAGCCACAGTACCCACGTTGAGTTGCCAACAACAAGGCTCTGCAAGGCGGCACGTGGTTATTGGAATGAATCGTATAAGGCTACTGAAATAAAAACAAATATGTAATCGGTCTCCATCAGCGTATTGAGTTTACTTACTGATTTGGAATTTTCAAATATCAGTGAAGATAAATGTGACTTTAAATGTATTGATGCCTCTTTTGCTTAGGCATCATTTGACGTTTCTGGGACCACCTCCCTGAAATTGATACCAAACGCGTATTCGCGTTGCAACTAATAGCATTGTGTGATTGCAAGTGTAGCTGAGAAATATGGGGAAATCGTGGTGTGGATTTCAGTCGATCATGGGACCTTCAACTTTGAAAATATTTTTACGAACACGGTCTCTTAAAAGCCCACTATAAACGATAACGCACAACCCTACCAAGCCACGCCCTTGCCCCGCGCACTTCCCCACCCCCCCGAGTTGCCAGAACATTGCTCGCTGTACATAAGCTCCCTTCACTCTCCTGTCCGGATATCTGGAACTCCCTCCCTGATGAACACATTGTCGGAGGAATCATCGATTCCGGTCTTCGGGGTTACACATGCCGAGCACACACCCGGCGCATCTCCTAACCTCACCGCACGCCTTGTAGGGGACTACGGAGTCTTGGAGCTGCAGTGAACCGACGATGATGCCGATGTCGATGTACTCATTGTCTAATACGGCTATTGGTCACAATTGCACCCAATGAAACCCTGCTGAATTTACTCTTTTCTCAGTGTAACATTCATTAGTCCTGGAAGGCTAATGGAGAGTGTTGATGAAATTAAAAACAATCCAAAGGGAAACAAGTACAAGGTACCTCTGTGGACATTACATCACTTGTGCCACTTGCTCTATTGACGTTGGACCGGCAGAAGAGGCGTTATACACATTCGGCTTCAGAATGTTAGAAGGAAATCGTTTACTTAGCTTGCTTGCTCCATAGCCATTTTGAGCAGAATAAAAGTTTGTAATGTTGATCCAACCTTCATGGATCCGATATTTCTCTTTCAGCAACATCGTAATATCTGGCAGAAAAAAATCTGGGAATGCGCCACCTGTTGAAAAGTGGAGGTTACTTCCTCTGTGACATCACTGAGCAGGCCATCACTTGGTCCAAACCTCAAAATTACCTAAAGCACCCAACTGCAAAAAAATGTTAAAGAAGACAATAAAAGTCACCAGGTAAAGCAAACAACACCGACCGACCGAACCAACAAATCTACTAAAAGAAAAAAACCCACGCTCACCATCCCTGCCCCCCCCACACCCCACCTTGTCGATGAAGTTGGCGAAGCGGTCGTTGAGGTGCTTGATGGCCTCCTTCTCCTGGGTGCGGGTGGGCAGCACTGAGCGGTCGATGTCCACGGGGGCCGCGCAGGCCAGCGCCGCGGCCGACACCGCCGCCCCCGCTCCGCCGTAGCCGTAGCTGCCGTAGCTGCCGTAGCTTGAGGCGGCCGAGCCGGCACGGTACCCGGACGTCAACGCGCTGCGACGCGCGAACCCTCCTGCGCCACCGACGCTGCTGAACCTGCCCCATCCGCCGCCGCCGCCGCCGAGCGACCGGCTGCTGAAGCCGGCGGAATGTCGCGGCACGGAGTTGCGCACCGAGGCCTTCCTGGCGGTGGAGATGGTGATGCTGGCCATGGCTGCCTGTGAGACGACTCGCCGCGTTACTCGCTGCGCGCGGTGCGAATGATGAGTGGGATTAACGCGAGCGGCGCACGGGCTGGGTGCGTGGTGGCAAGTGTCAGGCTGGCGTGGCGGGGATCGGTGGTTGAGTCGGTCGGTCGGTGGGAGGTGGCGGGGTGGGAGGGGGGGATATGGTTATTTGACTTTGGGGCCTGCGAGAAACGTGCAAAAGCGTATGAATCACCTTTTATATCGGCCCAACTAATGCCGACATCAATCAGGACCCTGTGTTTCTCGGTAATTGGTGGAAGATCTCCTGTGTAATTCCCAGGTTACACCCTGTGATGCGTCTCGTCGGGCGGCAATGGGTGTACGGCCGCTTGGTTAACGGCTTTAGTAGCACAAGTTGAAAATTAAATAATGACGCAATATTGCCAATGAGGTCATGAATTACACGTAATATAATAATGACACTCAAGCAGCAGTCTTAATCGGTTTTTACCCGAACAAATGCTTTAATGGGAGAGAATAACCCAGGTTTTATTTGTAAGGTCTGAAAAAAAAAATCAACTACTTGCAGAGGACTGGATTTAAAATACTGGTATCATAATAACAGCCCTTTAACAATCCAATGCAGGGTGAAGATATCCTCTTATGTTTTTAATTGGAGATGTTTGACCATACTTCACCACATTGGTTTGTGTGGGTTTCTGAAGGGACACGGGGCCAGTTCAGTTATCACTCGCCACTCATCTTAGCCATGGCAAGAATATGAATACTTAGCCATGGCAAGAATATGAATACTTAGCCATGGCAAGAATATGAATACTTAGCCATGGCCTTAAATCAAACTCAGCTTGTCAAGTTAATGGGGCAGTTCAGTTGTCACTCGCCACTCATCTCGGCCATGGCAAGAATATGAATACTTAGCCATGGCAAGAATATGTATACTTAGCCATGGCAAGAATATGAATACTTAGCCATGGCCTTAAATCAAACTCAGCTTGTCAAGTTAATGGGGCAGTTCAGTTGTCACTCGCCACTCATCTTGGCCATGGCAAGAATATGAATACTTAGCCATGGCAAGAATATGAATACTTAGCCATGGCCTTAAATCAAACTCAGCTTGTCAAGTTAATGGGGCAGTTCAGTTGTCACTTGCCACTCATCTTGGCCATGGCAAGAATATGAATACTTAGCCATGGCAAGAATATGAATACTTAGCCATGGCCTTAAATCAAACTTAGGTTGTCAAGTTAATGGGGCAGTTCGCGAACAACTGCACCAGCATTCAACACAGTGACTGGTACCTCTAATGTTATTCACGTCAATGTATAATTCCATCATCATCATCATCGGCCATTATTTATCCACTGCTGGATAAAAGCCTCCCCGCGTTTCACAATCCCTCACGGTTCTCCGAGACCACAATCTCTCTCACTCCCGCCGTGCTCACCGTTCCCTTTCCGCAGTGGCCCGTCCTCGCAGGCTGCCATTCCTTCAACAGTCTCGTCCATCGGGCCTCATCTCATCCATCGTGGGGCGTGTGTGGCTCACGGCGGCCGCAGGAGATGGACTCTTTGCCGTCAATTAGTTCACGCTTTGCCGAGCGGGTGATCGCGGCGCGCGGCGGACACGGCGCAGAGACCTCGTGCCAAGTCCCTGGTAACACCGAGATAAATAAACGCGCAAACATCAATTCTGCATTCTACTTTTTGCAAACAATACACGTAGCCCGCGTGCAGGTGCAAGGCGGATCGATACAGCGCAGGACTGTGAGAGATGGCGATGGTCTGCGGGAGGCCTTCATCCAGCAGTGGATTGATCATGACCGTTGATGAATTAATAAAATACCCAATGTGCTGTTGCATTCTACTGCTCAACTTTTTCCTGAGCGGGTGATGGAGCATTTTTTTTTAAACCCGTGTGTAACGTGGACGCGGGCATGTGGCCCTGACATGCCTGCTCCAATTAAGTCGGAGCCGGTCATAACGGATCTTCATCATGGGATTGGAGCCTTAACTATGCAATTATAGGTCTTTATCCTACCCCAATGCTGCTGTGGTGTAATGGTAAGCGCGCCGACTCGGCAAACCGGAGGTCCTCGGTTTGATTTTTTCTTGCAAACTAGTATGTGGCTGGCGAAATGTGACTTTCCGTGTAACAAATGAACGTTGATCAATTTACCGATTTGATCTCCCGGCGTGGCAGTTGCAACAAGAAGCAAGTTTATTAAATTCACCCGCCTCTCTCCGCATGGGGGTATAGACGTGCAGACCACAGTTTGGCGGTTGACAGGTTGCGTTGGGTGGGGTAAAGTTGTGGGTACTCCCTCTTCTTCCGAGGTGTTTGGTCAGTGTGGAAGAGTAGGCCTACGTAGCCTCGAGGGTCTCTTTAAATCTTTCTCTATTCAGAGTTGAAAAACTTTTTTCTCAAAAAAAATGTCTCGACATTCTGCACAAGAGTTCAAATTTTAAAGTGGAAAGCATCTTAAGTATTTTCACCTTTTGTAAAAATTTTTTTTTTTAAGGTGTGTGTTTTTAGACAAAAGGCCATAGGAGACTTGGGGACATTAGGCGACGCAAGAATATCTTTGTTGTTTGATAAATCCGATCAGGTGGTCAAGTGTGACGGGATACATTGCTGCAGCTGTCTTAAAATAACTTGTGACTTTTGTGAATTGATACCATAAATCACGGGGCATATGATGCGGTGTCTAATGCAGTGGCTACATGTTGACCCCCGATGCTCGTTAACAAACGCAGGGCAGCAAGTCGCAGTGTGATGATTGCTGCCGCGGTCTAATAGTCAGCACAACTGCACAGGCAGTCCAGAGGTCACCGGGTCATTCTCGACCCCGATGCCTGCGGTGTATTTGGAGTCTGCACGTCTCTCTCCCCCGTGGTCGCGTGGATTTTTCTCCGGGTCCTCCGGTTTCTCCCTCCACATTTCGAATACACGTGCATTTAGACTACTCGGCTGCTATACGTATATGTGTATGCATGTTGAACTTCTTTCACACCGTACGTAGCCAACCGTGCTAATGAGCTCCTCCGTTGAGCTATCATTTGCGGTCAGGTCACTTTTGCAAAAGAGCTATATAGCTCAGTGGGCCTCATCTGGTCAAGTAAAAACTATTTTAATAGTTTCAACAGAGTTAAAAAAACAAGAAGCATGTTCATTAACCCCCCCCCACCCCACCCCCGCTACTGGGGTTAAAGTGTAAGTGTGTTCACCACTTCCAAGGCGTCTAGGGTAGTCTCTCTCGAGCTCCCTCTCGTGGGGACACTTCCGCCAGCAGTAGCCTGAGCAATACATTGCGGGGCTGCACCTCCGCTGCCTTTTGCTCCACCTACCACGAGATCGTAGTTCCTCGCACAAGTCAGTCGCGCGTCGTCACGTGGCAGTGAGTTGGTGACGAAACCAACACTAAACTTTTTATACTCTTAGGTTTTTTTCGGTAAAGTCACGTAGCTGTAGTGGTTATTTTGCTGTGCCTTTTTACACCTGATGAAGGAAGCTTGTGTTGCCTCCGAAATGTCGTGATTCATTATTTTATTTCTATTATTATTTTTATTATTTCTTTTTTCTTTTTACCGACGTGACTTTACCGAAAAAAACCCAAGAGTATGAATCCTTGCAGTCACGAAAGCTTCAAATCTAGAATTAAACTTTTTATTTTACCAGGTAAGGTTGACTGAGCTATGTAGCTTTTTCTTCTTTCAGAAATGACCTGGCCACAAATGATAGCTCAACAAAGTGGCTCATCTCGTGGAAATGTATAGCAAGCCAAAATCTCTAAACCAGGGGTCGGCATTCTTCCAAATGAAGAAGAGCCATTTAAAAAAAAAGTTTTTGACCAAAATAATTCGAGATGTTAAAATGAGAACTCGGTGGGAATGCAGCGCAATGCGTTGTGTTAGCAGGTTTCATTTTTGTTGATGAGATTTAAAGTGTCTGTGCGCCTGCCTTTTACAATATCACGCAACAAAACTTCCACCAACTATTGACACAGAAGGGTCCGTGTTCCTCCTCTTTACGAAGGAAGCCTCTAGAGGAGACGAATCTTTGCCCGTGCCTTCACTGTCTCGTGAGAGTTAGACAATTCAAAATGTCCATGAGAAAACTATAGCCACGCGTGCGCAGCTTAATCTTCCCCGTGGGCAGCATTGGGAGAGAGAAATGTGCACGAGTGCCTTACCCACCATTTCCACCCAACTCGTGCCATTCAGACTTAAGCTGTGAATAAAGCGCGATTGTACAATCCCGTAAATGCTTGGGTAAGTAAAGAATAAAATAAAACCCCTTACTCTTTCCCCCACCCAAAAGGCAATAATTTGGAACAGGTGCAGGTTTTATCCGGACAGTTAAACCCAGAGAATCGCAGGAAAAAAGCGCATTACCCAAACTGTTGGCTTGGCTGAGAGAAACCCATTGATGGGGTGTGGGGTGGGGGGCATCGGAAACCACAGTGTGGTTTGTTTTTGGAGAGGAGAGAAGTCACGTAATAACGTGCAGCCCTTTGTCAATCCACCGGTACGTAAAAGGGGCCTCGGCCACTCTGCGCCGCTCGCCAGAGTTGACCGTCCACACGTCGCCACGCCAGCGCGAGGCTGCTAGCCGTGGCCAGGAATCGATCGCCGGGTTGACAGCGTGGTGCGCTAATCGCTGCGCCACCACTCCACATCCCTCCCCAAGGGAAAAGTAAGCGGGGTTAATTTCGCCAATGAAGGAGGTCACATCCCCATAATTAGAATTCCGTCGAGATGACCTCACGTTCCTATGCTCCCTATTGCACAAACCGTGATGCTTGTCATTATTGCGCCGTTAAAAGTGTAACGCATTTATTTTTTAAACTTTTTCCAACTCAGGTTAGAAGTGTTTATGCATGCGCTCTATCCGTGCGTCCTTCTGTAATGGTCAAATCATGGATACGTGTAAAGATGATCCAATTGTAGCGTGAGATTATGTTGCTATGAGGGACTCGGCCTGTTGAAAAATGGCCCCATTGATCAAATGTTTGCCCGAAACCAGGAGACACTAACCACAGTAAATGTATTTTGCCCTGACGGCTGCTGCTACTTAAACACTTGCGAAGACAAACGCATGTTGGGCAAGTGTTACATAACCCATAGTATGTACGATTCTTCCTAACTGGTTGTTACTCAGGGTGTGCAGCGAGTGGGAGCGGCAGTGTTGTGGTTAGTGCGTTCACAGCCAACATCAGTGACGATTTTTTTGTATTTGTACTAATCTAATTAAAAACCTGCATTAGTCTTCTTCAAAGACAACATGTCCCAGTATCGCAATGGGGCCAGCTGCTCAAAATGTGTGTCTCCGTGTGCTTCTATTATTCAGCTCATCTGCAGTCACAGCCTCTGTCCTCTCAACATCCTCCACGGCCTCTCCTCTAGACAACGTTTGCCCTGCACAAGTCACATCTCTGGAGCCCCACCAACCTATGGGCCTCTTTGTGAGTACATGAACTAAACTATTTTTCTTTATATTCTTGGTTCTTTCGTTAAAGTCACATAGAAGGGAAATAATACAATAATATAAATATATAACAATAAAAATTCTCACGACGTTTCGACTGCAACACAAAGCAATCGTCATCAGGTGTGAAATCATCATTATCAGGTGTGGATTTCACATCTGATGATGATTGCTTGTGTTGCAGTCGAAACGTCGTGAGAATTTTTATTTTTTATTGTTTTATATTAATATTATTTTATTATTTACCTTCTACGTGACTTTACCGAAAGAACCAATAATATGAATCCCTGCAGTCACGAAAGCTTTAAATCAAAGGTTTTTTACCCTTTTATCTGGCAACAAAACTGACACCATTTTTTTTACAAGGAATCATGTTTGCATTGACCGTAAGGCCCATTGAGCTAAATAGCTCTTTTTCAGAAGCGACCTGGCCACAAATGATAGCTGAACGCAGCGGCTTACCATGTGGACACTTATAGCAGCCAAATAATCTAAAACGCATTTTTCTAAACGTAGGGAAAAACCGGAGGACCCGGAAAAAATTCCATGCGAGAGACATGCAAACTCCAAATATATAGGCGTCAAGGTCGGGAATGAACCCACAGCTTCCTGCATACCAGGTGAGGGAGTTAACATCTCTTTGTGAGCACATGTATCTGTGTGATTCTATGGGTCTCGATATATATAGAGTATATGGGTCTCAGTGTGAGTGTGTGTGAGTCTACGGGTCTCTAGTTTGACTATGTATGGGTCTCTGTGTGAGTCTATGTGTCTCCAGTTTGACGACGGGTCTCTAGATTGACACAAGGTCTCGATGTAAGTCTATGGGTCTCTATGTGAGTCTATAGGTTTCTGGTTTGACTATGGGTCTCTGTGTGCGTCTGTGTCTCTGTGTGAGTCTATGGGTCTCTGTGTGAGTCTATGGGTCTCTGTGTGAGTCTATAAGTTTCTGGTTTGACAATGGGTCTCTGTGTGAGTCTGTGTCTCTGTGTGAGTCTATGGGTCTCTGCGTGAGTCTATGAGTCTCTGTGTGAGTCCATGTGTCTCTGTGTGAGTCTATGGGTCTCTGTGTGAGTCTATGGGTCTCTTAATCTCCACGGCCCTTCTCATCGCATCTTCTTAGTCTGTTAACACAGCCCAAACCATCTAATTTGGGACTGCTTGACCTCAAGACTACGAATAATCACTGCTTAGACTTATTCCTTCTTATTTCACGTAGAGATATTCCTAACATCCATCTCGGCCATTCTCATCTTTGCCCATTTAAGCGTTCTGCCTTCTTACTCACCCATTGGCCCACGTCCTTTGCAGTCTGCGCCCGTGCAACGACACTGCTTGTTCCAGTATCACTGTCATCCCCATCCAGTTTCACCGGCGCACCCAAATATCTGCATGAATGAGATGGCATTGGACAACACAAAACAAAAAGCCAAGACAGATATGAGTCTTGCAATGTGTCACACACCTGATTCGTGGAAATGAGTCAAATTTCTTCGGTGCGGGAGTGAGTCAGCGGGGCACAGCTGCCGTGCGTGCAGGAGGTGCAACTGCAAAACGGAGGGCCCACAGGGCTGGAGGGGCATACGCTACATGATGTCTGGCGGTGTAAGGACTCAAACGGGGGCTCCCCAGTTTGAGTCCGTGGACTCATGGGCGGGGGGGGGGGCGTCGAGATTGAGTCACGACACGGACAGTCAAGAAGGTAACGCACAAGCCTGCTTCTGATTGGGTGCTTTCAACGGCAGGGAATTGAAGGGGATTGGATCTAGAAAGATAAACGTGGAAAGAGGGGAAAACGGAGGGATGATTGCCACAGGTGGGAACGGTGGGGAATCCGTTGGGAAAGATGGAAGGTGACGATTGGCTGGGTGGAAAAGCGGAAGGTCGAGGAACTTTCGGGAAAGGGGCTTGAGGGACAGGAAGCGGGGGAGTTCGGGTCGCTTGGAGTGATGGGAATCCTTGAACAAGACCCGTGTCTCGTGCTGGAAGAAATAAAGACTTCCTATTTTGATGACTATTGTGTCAGCTGTCAACACATATGTATTCAGCGATTCAACGCGAGCAAGACAAATTACGATATGTTCCAATGAAACTTAAATTGTCTTTAGAGGCATTCAGTGACTTATGAAATGGCAATGGGTGACTCTACATTTATTTTCCTTTATACGGCAAGGCACAATCCGATCATTCACCATTCGAACCTAACAAAGAACACGTCACTGTCTGGGAGGGTGGCCGATGTTCAAACCTAAACAGTTCTAAAGAATTGAGTTTTCAATCTAGATGATTTAAAAGAGCATAAGCTCCAGTGGCTTCCTAATATCGGAAGGAAGAGCGTTCCAGACGGCCACGAAAGCGCGCGATGCAAGTGACCGTCTTTGTTCGATGGCCAGCCAAAATCCGCTGCTGTGAGGATGACCGGAGTTGCGCGTGATGGTGGTTTATGCTCCTTGACGAGATCACCAAGCTGTTGTGGTTCATTTCTGGCAAGCACTTTGTGTGTGATGAGTGAAATCGGTTCGTTGTGCAGGTGCCGGGTTGGATCGTTACGTCGCAGAGATCGTGCGACCTGGCAAGCGGCTTGGCGAGGCCTGTCATCCAGCAGTGGAATGGCCACGGTTGATGACGATTGGGCCTTTTTGCGCACGTGCTGTTAGCGACGCAACAGCTCTCTGGCGCGTGTGTGTGGTTCGGTCGTACCGCGTGCCGAACGACAAGTTCACTGCAGCACGTGGCGGTGAAACGATTTCAGTGCCCCCGCCAATGTTGGGATGTTGCTATCCAATACTTAACCTGGCCTCATGGCACAACGCAGAGACGCAGTTCCATTCAAGCATTAGACCAGCCTCAACCACCTACAAAGATCCCCCATATAGCCTGTTTGGGGCAAGTGCCGTTAGTGAGCATCAATGAAGGCCTGCACGGCACTCGAGGGGTTTGGTTGCCAACAACACACCCGGCCGCCTTTGTCTCCCCAGTGGCGCTGTTTACACACCACACCAGGTTACTAATTTGAGGCTGAGTCGACCTAGGGGAGGCCCAGAACCGATTCGAATAATCTTCATTGGTGTTGGCCCGATTGGTGCTGGAGTGTGGCCAGCACCGACCGCACACATGCAAACACACAGACACGCACACACGCACACACGGACGCACACACACGGACGCAAGCGATGTATGCGGTGTTTACGATGTCTCGCCGCAATAACCGCAGCCTCCACACCTCTCTCGGAGCACCGCAAGCCCCCCCACCATCACCACCCCACGAACACCACTACCCCACCCCACCACCACCAGCTCCCCACCACCACCACCACCCCACCACCACCCCACCACCACCACCACCCCACCACCACCACCCCACGACCACCACCACCCACCACCACCTCACCACTACCACCACCACCTCCCCACCACCACCACCACCCCACCACCACCACCATCTCCCCACCACCACCACCCCACAACTACCACCACCCCAGTGCCGGATTATCTTCCTAGTCGCACAAGTAGCTATGTGTGTTGCTACGGGCCCCCGCACTTTCAAGGGCCCCGTGCTAAATGCTTTCAAGCTATCAATTCCGGTTCAGTGACTCTGCACTTGCTCTTACTATAGTACTATACTGCCTCAACATTTACGAACGACCGGGTGTTTAAGGTTAGCGATTTGTCCTATCATCTGGCTGTAATAGCAAGTGAAGAAATGCAATTACTTTACTGTGCAAGTTAAAAATGTGTGTTTTAATATTTACGTGTTTTTTTAAATGTAGGGCCCCTTTATAACATCGGCTACAGGTCCCCGCGCTCTGCTTCATCCTGGCACTGCCCCCCACCCCCCGCAGCTCGTCACCGTCATTGTGACGTAACAACAGACGAGGGGAGGCAGCCGAGCAGGAGGGCCGCACAAGCACGCGGACTCAGCCCGGACGCGCCCCCCCATCGACCCCCCCCCCCCCCCCGCACAGGTTGCGGCTGTCGACTCAGCAGGTGCCGTGCTGCTACCCCCACCCCACCCCACCTCGACAAAGGAGGAGACAGCTGTTTGCCCCCCTGTCTTGAGGTGTGCGCGCGCGCGTGGGTGGGAGGCCCCGCACCCAAGAGTAAACACAACGCGCCCAAAGGTAAACAAAACAGCAACAAGAAACCATTACGTGTGATGTGACGTGCGAACGATGCGCGAATTTGAACGCGCACGCCTGATTACGACGAATGTGACTGAATGTGCCGTTCACGCGCAGCGGCGAAACGTCGCAATGTGGCACGGACCCTCCCCCCGAACGGGGATCTCGAGACTCGGCGAGGATTTTCTGAATAAATGTAAAATTGTGTCAATCCACTGCTGGATGAGGGGGCCTCCCTACGCCCGTGTGGGTTTATATATATTTTTTTTTTGGGGGGGGGGTATTTAACCACGATGCACCACGCTGGTGAGTGCGGGTTGGCTGAGCTGTGGAGCAAAGACGCGGAGGATAGACGAGTGCAACCATTGGGTCCTGCTGCACCGCGCTCTTGCTGCCCATCACGTGGCCCCACACGAGCAGCAGCAGGAGCAGCAGCAGCTGGAGCAGCAGGAGTAGCAGCAACATCAGCAGGAGCAGCAGCAGGAGCAGGAGTAGCAGCAGGAGTAGCAGCAGCAGCAGCAACAGGAGCAGCAGCAGCAGGAGCAGGAGCAGCAGCAGCAGCAGCAGGAGCAGCAGCAGGAGCAGCAGCAGCACGAGCAGCAGCAGGAGCAGCAGCAGCAGCAGCAGCAGGAGTAGCAGCAGCAGGAGCAGGAGCAGCAGCAGGAGTAGCAGCAGCAGCAGCAACAGGAGCAGCAGCAGCAGGAGCAGGAGCAGCAGCAGCAGGAGCAGCAGCAGGAGCAGCAGCAGCACGAGCAGCAGCAGGAGCAGCAGCAGCAGCAGCAGGAGCAGGAGTAGCAGCAGGAGTAGCAGCAGGAGTAGCAGCAGCAGCAGCACGAGCAGGAGTAGCAGCAGGAGTAGCAGCAACAGGAGCAGCAGCAGCAGGAGTAGCAGCAACAGGAGCAGCAGCAGCAGCAGCAGGAGCAGCAGCAGCACGAGCAGCCAGTACCAACCGCTGGTATCCAGTGCCGGAATATCCGAGTAGCACAAGTAGCTACAGATGATGCTACGGGCCCCGCACTTTCAAGGGCCCCGCGCTAAATGCTTTCAAGCTATCAATTCCAGTTCAGTGATTCTGCACTTGCTCTATTACTATAGTACTATACTGCCTTCAACTTTTATAAACGACTGGGTGTTTAAGGTTAGCGATTTGTCGTATAATCTGGCTGTATAACAAATGAAAAAATACAATTACTTTACAATGCAAGTTACAGATTTGTGTTTTAATTATTAAGTGTTTTATTTTTATTTTATTTAGGGCCCCTTTATAACATATGCTACAGGCCCCGCACTAGTTTAATCCTGGCGCTACTTGCATCCAAGGTGGAATGAACCGGAGATCCTGGAGGAAACTTACGCGATGTGGTGGATTAAAACCACCATTTACTGCTACTGACATCACCCCGGCCACCTTTTAGATGAGCAGCTTTTGGGAGTATTTCAAATATGTTGTGGTCGACCAACCCTTTCCTCAAAAGTGCTAGAACACAACAGGCATGTCCGTGTGAATGGTATTCATGCGTCTGTGCATTTACAATGACATATGACAGATAAGAGAAAAACGCACGTCGTAAACATGCAACGCAGCCAAGATAAACAAAAAGGAGAACGGCCTCTGAAAGATAAGGTGTCTAATAATAAAGGGCCAAGTTGTAGAAAAATGACAAGCCCCTGTAAAGGCAATTAAATATGTTTGTAAACAAACACCAGCGTGCGTGAGATACTGCATTGTGGATATTTGTAAGTGCCAGAGCTGGCTCCAGTGCACGTTGAACTCCTTCTTTCGCACCGTATGCAGCCAACCGCGCTAATCGGACAAACTCAGCGCACAAAGTGAAGGCGCAGCGCTGCAAATGATTTCACTTTCTACGCGGCATTTCACCGACGCTTCCAGGCTGGCCAGAAGTCTTGTAAGCGACAGGAGTGTAGCCGCACTTGACCCCACAGCACGTGCCCTGCCGACTGACTACTTGCGGTGTCACGCGCTCATAACCGCCGCGTGGACGGAGGCGGGGGGTGGGGAGTGGGGGGCTTGGTGGTTGCGAATTTAAGAAATTTGGCCCATCGCTTCAACCCGCCGTGCCAAGAGATCGAAGCGGCCGTCCTCTCGCATCGCAAGTCCGGCGTGTGAACAATTCCACCACAGGTGGGCTTCTCCACAAATCTGGCTGTCGCCTGATGAAGCTAGGTTGTAATTACTGGCGAAACGTCGTACTCATATTGTAATTGTCGTGGCTTGGCTCTCCAACACACCGGTGGTGCTGTGCTAGTGACAAATTGGCCACGTTCTGTTTATGTGACAACCCTTACTATTTGGCTGTGTTGGGTGGTGGCGGGTTTTAACAACACATTTTTATGTTTACGCGATCTAGCCCAAAACAAACCTCGTATGAATTCCACCGCTGCAGCATCAAATAACAATACTGGGATTTGACTTCTGCTTGAGTACTCGGGACAGGAATTGAGAACAACTCTTGCTTGGTTTTGTGGGGGTGTGTGAATTGAAGCTGGAATGCAATTGACGTTCAGAAACGTACACCACCAACTCCTCCGGCAACGACCGTATCAGCATGCGTCAGTCAATCACGTACACGCGGATTCAGCGTGGCATGTGGAGATTCAGGAAGGGCTGGGCGCGTGCACAGATCGCAGACTCGTCGTGGGAGGTCTTCTGCAGGTGGTGGCGGAGAGCCAAGCACGGTTTAAACAAAAAAAAAATCAACCACGCAACAAAATCTACCAAATTTCCGGGAGGCTCGTTCTTTCGGTAAAGTCACGTAGGTAAAACATGAAATTAAAATTAATAAAAAATAAAAACAATAAAATCACGACGTTTCGGAGGCAACACAAGCTTCCGTCTCAAGGTGAAACTGTCACAGCAAAATATCTGTATCAAGTTCGTTGAACTTCTTTCGCGCCGTACGTCGCCAACCGTGCTAATCGGAGGTGCGCAACCGGGACACGCGGTGAGTTGGCAGCCTCCATCCTCCGTCAGCCCCGCCCACTTCTGCATAGCGACGCCCACTCTATCGCTAGCCCTGCTCACACAGTGAGCGGCCCTTCTCGTCGCTCTTGCCGACAATGCCCCCACCGACACTGCTCATGGATTCTGCCTTCCCTTCTGCCAAGCCTGCCCACCACACAGGGACACCCACCCCTTGCCCAGGACAATATTTTCACAAACGCCTTGCGGCTCCAGGACAAGCTTTGTGAAACTCGGACTGGAATCGCCACGGTTGCGAGATGTTAACTACCTCGCCTGGTATACAGGAGGTCGTGGGTTTGATCCTTAACCTGACGCCTGCTGTTTATTTGGAGTTTGCGTGTCCCTCTCCCCGTGGTCGTGTGGATTTTCCTCCGGGTACTCTGGTTTTTCTCTCCACATCTAGAAACAAGCGTTTAGTGTATTTGGCTGCTATACACGTCCACGTGATAAGCCACTCCCTGAGCTATCATTTGTGGCCAGGTCGCTTCTGAAAAAGAGCTATGTAGCTCAGTGGGCCTCACCTGGTGAAATACAAAAAAAATAGATCAGTTTTTTTGTTTTAGTTTAGAGTCGGTGGTCTCATCACCACCACACTACATGTGCTTCTGCCCTCAATTCGCCTATATGTCCAGTTTTCAGAAATTGACCCCAATAAACCCGGCCAATGAGGGTAGAGAGGTGGAAAGGGCCAGGAACACGAGATGGGATAGGTTGAGTGCACAGATCATCGTGGCGTACGGTGTGTGGGGTGCAGAGGTCGTAACCGGGTACCCGATACCCGTACCCTACCTGATACCCGGCTAGCCGTACCCGGCCGGGTACGGGTAGCCGTTTGCGACCCTGGTGCGGCCGGGTACGGGTACGGGTAGGCCGTGAGTCACTGGTGAGTAGCCGTTTGTCACTCATTCCGGGTAGGGTACGGGTAGAGTACGGGTACCCGTACCCGGCCGGGTACGGGTACCCGTACTCTACTCGACCCTGGTGCGGCCGGGTACGGGTAAGGAATCAAAACCTGTTTGCGACCTCTGGAGGGGTGCTACTCCTTGGCTAGTTGTTGGGCTGGCAGGGCCCCCGTTCCAAATGGTCATGAAAACAACGCATCATCAAAGTGCCGGCAGGAATTTCGATTCAGGGTTTGATAATTTTCACCCAATACGGGCGTGGGCTACCCGATGTAACAGAATACCGCGCTACTGTCGTGCGAGAATTTCAGGTGCGAATAATTCAATGACTCTACGAGGACCACACCTATTGCGGTTGGAGAACGTGAGCTCATCGACCTTGAGCCATAAGCAGATGTGCATTATATTGTATTTTTCTTAATTACCTAATTGTACTATTGGCACCAACATTGCACATTTTAAAGTCACCGACGGGGATTTGAATTCTCAACTTTCTGATTGCGGGGCCGCACGCTCCATCACTGCACTACCCGCCACGCCGTTCGTTACTAAAGATGGGATAAGAAATGGAGCCCAGCGCGAAGCTCGTGAGTTTTTTCTCTCTTGTAGATTTTTTTTGGACGAATAGTCACGACATCCCCTTGCATGATGTGTGTATGATATATGCAAGTTGGACTTCTTTTGCACCGTACGTAGCCATCTACACAAACACAAGTTACATTTGCACTGTGCCGGTTCACACCACCCCAACTCATCAATGCCCTCTCTCCACCCCTGTGACCGGGCTGAATTATGGGTCAGTTTTGTCTTTATTGACACGCTTTTATTTAACTCACTTTGTCTGTTTTATCCTCAAAAAATAAATATTGTAACTCAATTTTTACACACTTTTCAATGTGCTATCGACTGCAAACTTCGTATAAGTGTGTCATACTGATGACAACACGATATTCTATCATAAAAAATCCAAAACATATTACAAAACTTTTTACACGCTCTTATTTAACTTACTGTATGTGTTGTCGTATCCAAAAATCTTGTAACTCAATTTCAACCGTATTCCCAATGTCGTATCGACTGCAAACTTCGTATAGCTATGTCATACTGATGACAATACTATATTCTATCATTAAACACAAAAAAATATATATTTTAAACGATATTTTTAACGGCTCTAATTGTCCACGCTCAACTGACGTTGCCTGTAAATCACCACGTGGTCCCTGACGTCACGGCAAGCCTCGGGGAGCCACGCCCAGGGGCGGGGGATGTGGAAGGAGGGGGAGGGGCGATGAGGGGAGGGGGCAGGGGGAGGTGCAGCTCGGACAGTACATTTCATTAAAGCGTGTTTTATTATTTTAAATATTTTTAAAGAAGCGCATTCCAAGTCACGTGCCCCAGAGCGACCATCGATGCACAACCTCGACCCGGGGGTCGGCAACTTGCGGCTCTTTTGTGACGTCATTAACATTCATCGCGGCTCTTGAAATATTGCGATTTTTGACTGAATTCGAAATAAATTGTTCTTCTTGCTATTTTTGGTTTGCCGCACCCTTAACTAGACTGCTCCCCTCCCCAACCCAACCCTCCAAAACCCCCTCTCACCCCCCTCTCCCAATGAAACCAGTGCTGCAGTTGTTTGTTTATGCAGACATTGACAAACTACACGGTTACAATTGGCTGCAATTGTCTGGCTCATTAAAAAAGTTTGTTTATAAACAGACAGAAGCTCATGAAGGCATGGCAGTGTTCTGCAGGGGCCGTGTCTTGCAGCAAAACTTTTACTCAAAAACACCTTCAGTCGAGCTCAAATTCGCTACAGTCTGATAACAAAGGTCAGAGTTCAGCGGCCAGAGCACGGGGCTGGCACCGATGACATCCTGAATCCGGATTTCCATCCGTAAATAATCCTGCTTCTAAAGCACAATGATTTGACGGTCTTAGCCTGGTCTCATCAACGACTGGATTATATAAAGACATCGTATTACATTTGGTTTTGCAACTAATTTAGCTGACGTTCCAGCTATTTTGGCTCTCAGATTTGACAATATCGGTTTCATTGTGTGTGGGAAAGGTGCAACGACCCTCAACGAGGATACAACTACTTCTGATGGGATCTCAGAAGTAGCTCCGTCATATCTCGTTCCGCGGACCATTCTTTAATACAGTGTATATTGCAATTGTTCCCCATGGACGTTTCACCTGGTGGCACGATGCCAATAGCGCAGATGTCATAAGAATTATGAAAAAATAAGACAAACACGCGTTCGGTAATCAGCTCATGCATGATTAATCATCTGGGTGTGTAATGCCTGCCAGATGGCAGCATGTGCAATTGGAGGACTTTTCCTAACGCACCGTAGTTGATTATCACCCTTGCAAGCACGCAGGGAGAGGACTGTAGGTCCAGCAATGATAACACTGGTCAACACACTTGTTCTGGCATAAGGTATTCCAACGGGTTTTAAGGTAATTTTGGGATGCTGATTCCAAATCTGGCATCAGTTTTTGTCTATCACATCAGGTTTTTGAGATATCAAATATAGCATTTTCAATAAAAAAGCTATAATTTGTGGCCAGACCGCTTCTGTAAAAGAGTTAATAGCTCAGTTGGCTTTACCTGGTAAAATACACGTTTTTTGTTGTTTTGTTTTAAAATTTTGATGGGCCGTAGGAGAGGAAGGTGTGACGGCTGGAGGATGAGAGAGATACCTGGTTGTCCTCGGGGTGTGGGAGCCGATGCGTGAAAGCAATGCGATCGCTACCCTCCCACAATAAAACAAAAACCGCCTTGAACCTTGGGGTAACGACCACCCCCACCCCCCCGCTTGAGTTACTTTTAAATTCTAGTGTCTACCAGTGCGGAACGATGTTTTTGCTCGGCCCTGAAATTATGGCTGTCTGGGAAAAGCTCACCGCCAAATTGGTAAGCCACCGTCTTGCGGCCGTAACTACCGCAGGGGCAGAAATCGCGGTGCAGTAAACTCGGCGACCCGAGTTGAGATTCCTGGTCACGGGCACGCGCGTGCGCGTGAGACGTGAACCGGTCCCTCTCCGTCAACCCGCAATGACCAGCCAGCAGCATTGTGTGCGAAGCGCGTTTAAACAAACCAACAAGTTCGACACAGCGTGGGTTCGGGCCTTCATCAAAACGTTTTTTTGTAAATGTTATGGTTTCACGCTTCAACACACCGGTGGGCTAAAGTAGTGAACTATTTGTCTTTTGTCAACGTGACACTTTTTTTGCTGATTGGCCGTGTCGGGTGGTGGAGGGTTACGACACATTTATAAATAACGCGATCTAACCCAAAAACGTTTATTATGAAATATTCATACAATTAACGCCTTCCAACTCGGTTTGAAGGCGTGGGTGGGCCCTGTGAATTTCCCTAAAGGGTGATCCAATAAAGAACGAATCTGTGGTCTCGACTCGCATTGCTTTTCAAGGACTTAATCCTCGAGAGGGCCGGACCCAGAGTTGGTAAAAGCGTTGCCCAAAATCTTGGCGGCACCAACCGGGACACAAAAAGGCACTGCATTGCAAATATGCAAAAGGGGCACTTGCCCCTTAGCATCTGCAGGCCTCGGCAGCTTTCAACCCGCCCAGTTAAACATTCCCGGGGGCCAACGCGCGTTTGTAAGCGGGTTACATAATCGGCGCGCACGATGCGTGTTCTCTCATAACTCTTATCGACGTATACCGCCGAAGCAACAGCAGCAGTACTGAAAAGAATGTTTCTGTCGTCTTGACGGGCAATGATGTAACTACGGACATTTTGGTTCAGCCCACAGATGGGGGTGGTTCTCGCACGTGAGTGATCACAAGGGCGAACGCACAACCGACGATTAGAGGAGTGAAACAAACGACGACTTTACGATGGAAACATTTTCCCTTGCTCTGAACGGTTGTAAAGTCCGAAATGCATGTCTACGTCCGTCCGTCTGGCCGCTGAGCACATCGTATAGCGATACAAACTCTGAACTTCGGTGGCAATTTTTAGCGCGCGCGCCAAACTTAATTAGAGACTCGGCAGAGGAACGACGTTGATTCGCACTTCCTCGGGGACATTTGACAAACTATGCACGGGTGCTGTGTCTGTGTCCGATCGCGTCATATCTCGGATGCTAGGCAGTCGTGAAACTTAACAGTGCTTTGGATGGACGACCGCCACGCACGGCAGGTTGTTATAGAGCTGCTGCGGGACTACGTGGCGGACAGCAGATGACATTGTAGAACAATACATTCACCGGTTAGTGCTGTACTAGTAACGAATCGGAACGTTCTGTTTACGTGACAAACCTTACCAATTGGCTGTGTCGGGTGGTGGCGGATCTAACGACACATTTATATTTACACGATCTAACCTCCCCATAAACCCCTCTATATTATGGACATTTCTCTTTATTGCACTTCTATGCTCCTGCATCTTTGCTCCCGACCCTCACCAAATGGCACTGACCAGTGTGGTGAAGTATGGTGAAGTAACTCCCATGATTCACGCAGTGTGGCAGAGGCCCTCACCAGCAGTGGATTGACACAAGGGCCGTGCTATGCGCTTAGTGGCAGCCATCGTGATGACGTCGTCGAATTACCTTACACTCGTGAATCGTGTTTAATCCCGGCTGGTTAAGCCCAAGATCCCACGTGTGCAGCAGGCCAAGGACTCGAAATGCAGCCACACCCGCTAATTCCTTCATGCAATCGGAGGGTTGCTGAAACTCCCCCAGGCTTCTTCTGACGCCTACGTGCATACCGACCAACATACCTGGGTTTACCAGTCGATTAAGTACTACGTTATGTACATTGCACTCATACGCGTGAAAACTTGCAACTTTTGTGAATGAACACTGAGCCAAATACGTCTGTTGTTTGATCAAACACACGTGCGTTTGTGTATATATTTGCAGAATAATTGAACGTAATAATGTTTCGTTATTTGATAGTCCAAGAAAAGCCTCTCTTGAGTCTCAAAACTCTTTTGAAGAGAGTCCTGCCTACGATGCTCGTTCGACTCGTTTGTTTTCTGGGGATTTTTCTTCGCGCGCGTGCGAGCAAGTTTGGAGCACATGGATCAACTCCACACACACACACACGCGAGATGACAACGCTCACCATGTGCTCATATGACTAACCCAGTTGCTCTACCGCTGCCGAGAGCCATTTTTTTTTCAACGAACAAAAAAAAGTGAAGAAAGTTGGAGCAATGCAAACTCTTTCCTCACCGCCACTGCCTGACAGAAGCTCCTCCACTTGCCCCTCGAGAGCAGTTGTTTCTTAAACTCTGTTGGCCCGCGGGCCACTCGCAAACATTTCCAGGGGACCGTCCGAGTCAGCCAGCCAGCCGTCCATCTCCTAGCGACAAAACGCATTCACTTCTCTCTCTAAATAGCAGAAATACTAAATTATTCATATTATGGGAACATAAAACACTTTCTTTGTAACGCAGCTATTGTTTTTTTTTAGGGGTGGCGTTTAGATCTGTGGGTTAGGGTAGTTTCATCAGGATAGTTTACCTAACAGCACATTTTTTTTTAAATATCATAAGTAAAATATGAATGAATGTCTGAAAGAAAAGGTATAAACGTTGTCATTCTTTGTCCGGCTCATGAATTTGTATCACAGCCCACAGATCACCTGGTGGTCCTGGGATCACACTTTGAGAACCACTGCCTAACTCTTCCACGCTGCACAGACGTCCTAGAAGAGGTGGAAGTACCCACACTCTACCCCAGCGAACCCAACCCGCAGATCGACTTCGGTGCATTAACGAACTTTTCTCCTGCGTGTCATATGCCGCGCCGGTTGTTGACCTTTGCACCGCGGCAGCGGTCACCACACTGCGACTTGCTGGCCCGAAATTGTTCACGTGCAGAGGGAGTCAACCTGTTTAGACCACTGGACTGGTCACCGCGCAATACGCCCGCGGTGATACCCGCGGTGACACTTGCGTGATATATTGCATCGATCGATTCACCAGAGTAATTTTTTTTAACACGGCTGCAAAAAATATCTCATCGCAGTTTAACTGCGTCTCGGATTTATCAAACAATAAGGACATTCTTGCTTGGCCTAAAGGCCTCAAAATTTGTATGGCCTATTGTCTAAAAAGAAATCGAAGTTTTTTCTTTAAAATATAAATATATATAAATATCTATTTTTAAATGGTGCAAATACCTGTGATGAATT